TAGTGATCATTTCAAGTATAAATTCTAAGAAATTTTACTGACAAACAGTAATATATGCTTATCTGCTACATATATCAGCTTTTACTATTGACATTTACATGATAACGTCACGTGTCTGTGAAACTCGAGAAAAGATGTCCCCTGCTTGAACAGATGTCTCCTGTAATATCAATTGGGATAGTAAGATGCAAAGCCTATGCATATCATAACTCTATAACTTGGATGGTTATCTTTCTCACTCTGACTTGCCTCGTTACAGTTGACCAAGGGATGCAAAGCTCTTGAGTGGTAAGTTTCCCTAATTGATGTCTCCTTGACTAGTTTAACTGAGTGATCACCATCCCAGAACCTGTGAATCACAATACAAATGAACAGCTCTGTAGCCTACGCTCTGAAATAAAGAAATTAAGGAATAGAGGAGTTCATCCTAAAAGAGCAGCATTTACATTCAGACACTCAAAAGTTTAAGAGTTTCTGCACATTGAAATTGGCAAATATATATCAATTGTACGTCTGTAAGGAATTTCCATAAGGAGACTAAACTTATGTACAATAACATGAAAAGGAACTGTGTTTGAGGAAGCTATCTAGCAATAGCATTCATTAGCAATCAGTTCATAGAGTCAAACATATCATAATCAACAAGCAATTGAGGAAACCTTGATGGAGAATGACTTCAAATATTGAGTGGACTGAAAAGTCAATTACACTAGCATTTATCATGCATCACTATGACCACCTGGTCACCCAGTCATGCGTAATGACTCAAACATCAAACAAATTACTAAATTATAAAAAGAATGGAGGAAGAGATGGAAAAAATATACACACTTGGCAAATCATTGTTTTATCATAAATTCACTCTTTTTCTGGTCCTATCGTTTGAGTTTTCTGGCAATGATGTCATCCTCTAGTGTTTTATTTTCTGTTATGTCCCTTCTCTGGAATCGTTTTCACCATGTCCACCGAAAAAAATTGATTTACTGATATGTAAAACAAGTGCAATGAATTAATAGCATCACAATGATGTTATTCATGCTCTTCTCTGACACAAATTTCCACAATGAAACCCAATTTGTAAGAACTCCAAAATTCTAAAACCCCAAGTCACTCAACTAATGGAAGATGGTGGAGTTAAGAGGAAAAGCTCATATTGGAATTTATCATGTACAATCCGAATAGGAAACCTACAGAACTCATAAGTAGTGTGTGGGTTTCACCCGTTACTTTGAAGACTCATCTTACAAAATACTATCTCGAATCCTAATTATAAAACCTCATTTGTAGACGACAAACAAGGTCTTATAATTAGGATGGGAGATAGTAGCTTGTTAGGAATTAGTAGCACCATAAGTTCATAAAATGCCAGAAATCCAATTTAAACATAAGCAGATATCAAACAAAAGATGAACATTAAGGATAACATTAACACCTCAAAAAATAGTTTCTGGGGATACAGTTATAAAGTTCTTATATTTTTGGAAATGGTGACGAGTGTAATCTCCTTTCCTTGATAATGTTGCTTCTGATTCAGTTCCTTAATATTGTTAAACATCATAACATGTCATGACAAAGATGGCTGTTGATAAAGTCTAGATATTCACAAAACACGAGATAATTCCTCTACAGATTTTCATTAAATTGAATCAAATATGAGTTTCTTTCTTATTTATGCATTGCATCTAAATGGTCTAATTATTAATTTTTGCACATTGCTGTCAATGTCATTATGCACGTGAAACACTGAGTTGCAGCGTAAGCACTTTGTTGCAACTTTATTGTGTCTTATGAGTTATGAAGTATTTATGTTCACATGGTCCATATTAGAAGGACTCTGAGTTCTCTGAGTAGCCTCTGGTGTGATATCACGTGAGTTTGGAAGCGTTGTACCTACCATGCGTCTGAGGCTGAAATCTCCTGTAAACGTTCAACACCAGAGGTATTGAAGATCTGGTGTATTGTTCGGTACATTTCAATGTGTGGGTTTATTTGGTCTACGGCTCTCAACTCGCAATTCGCAACAGACACAGTAAAAATACAACAATATTTACTTCCACTTCATAAAAATGAGACCAATACAACTAGACGCATTTAATTTTAACTAAAAACATCTCTAGCTATAGGGCCATAAGAATCCAAGGTACTGCTAACCAGGAACCAAAGAAATTTGTGCAGCAAATGACTTCGATATCAGCAGGATCCAGGTGCTTAAGTAAAATATCAATTATAGTAACGAGAAAGATCAAATATCAATGACCTTCAAAGCCGCAAATTGAAGGACAAAACATCCTGGTATATGCATTTGCCAACCGATTTCTCGCTCATGAGAGCTCGAAAACTGTACCCACTAGACCAACACTCAATAATTAAGTAAATGAGCCAGGATAGGAAATCAGTTCAGCTTCAGCTTAAAATCGAAAGCTTCAGAATTGTTCTCTATCGTATTCTTCAGACTTCCAACCGATCCAGTTCATGAATACAGACACTCTCAAGTATATGCATAATGAAGCTAAGCAAAGGAATACACAACTGATTTTGGGGGAAACAGTATAACACCAGAAGGTAAGAACCCGAGCTGGAGAAACAAAGAATCCAAAAGTTCAAGACTTTCGTACCAGATCTTGGCGGTTTCATGGGGAGAGATTGAAGCTGAGAGCTAACCTGTTGACGACAAGAAAACCCAGGAAGAAGCTGGCAATGCAAGAAAATGAAACCCATCTCGTCGAGAAGCCATTGCCGACCTTGTGTTGTCTGCTCAATCCCATCTGAACCAGAAAGCTTAAACTTTAAGGTAGCTTCCTCTTCAGCCTTCTGAGCGTAGTGACGAGCATCACAAGGATAAACTGGAGAATCACATTAGAGCAAAACATAAAGCGGAATGAGCTAAATGTTCGAAATGCACAGTTTTAACTTTTAAGCATCAAAAGATGGAAAGATGCATGCTAGCTCAGACTTCGATTCAAACTGCCGTGAGAGGATCCACATTTTATATTGATACGTCTTGATCGGTGATCACGCATCAGTCATCAGTACAAAATTCCAAAACAAGATCATGGGGGAATTAATAATTTAACGGGAATAATATAATATTATTACCAAAAATGGCTAGAAGCAATATACCATTTTAATTATACCTTTCTCAAGGTTACATCTTTCTTTATAATCCTAGTCTATCTAAGGAAACTGTTTTCTCCTTCAAATCATCGCGATCGTGCTCTCGCCTTCTGGTTCGAATTTATTTGACTCACGAGAAATATAATAATAACAATTATTATTATTAATTAGAGCAGCAAAATCTTTCCTCAAACTTCAGTCACCCACCCTTTCGGCCTTTCCTTTTTATTTTCTCCCTGTTTTAATCTTTTTCCCCCCTTATTTTTTTGGCCTGCACTATTTTGATCATGTTTGCAATCATCTTTGTCTCCTCTTTTTCTTTTTAATAAAACATCTCTTCTTTACTGTGGACATGAGACTTATTTTATCAATTTTTTCACATTCTGTATATATTTTTTCATCCTCCAAAACATGACCCGTGTCTTGTAAAATGTTCCGTGAGCCCTGTGCTGACATGACGTTATTGACTTATTCTCATTGTTATTATAACGAAAATCCATTGTTTTTGGGAAAAAAAATCTTAAAAAATGATTGTTAAATTTTAAAATTTTAAATCAGTATTAGTTACTAAGTCATAAAAAAATAATTACATTCAAAAAGCAAATAATAACATATTTTTATAATAATTTCTTATTTAAAATTTTAAAATTCAACAGTTTTTTAGGAGTTTTCCTTGTTTTATTTATCAAGAGTTTGTTTGGAATTATGATTTGAGCTTTCCAAAATAATTATTCAATCATGATTTGTAAAATAAATTACAAAAGTTTTGCCTTAACTTAATGAGAATTTTTTTTTTGGACCAATGAATGAGAAGATTAAAATACCTCTCTTGTACAAGTACCAAAAATTTCAATCATACTTCAATTAAGAGATAAAGTGCAATTTCCTTTAGTCGGCCATGAGATAAACTGTAATTTCATCCATTAGTAGTTATTGCTTTGGGATAACAGCAACAGAAAAACTATTTCGAAGATATCTACACTATTTTGTGATTTTTAATTTGGTACCATGTGTTTTTTTTCCTAAGGAATTTTTTAATTTTACTCCATTAACATTGTTAATCCTTACACAAAGACTATCAATACTATATAGCAAAGTTTCAAAAGCTATTAAGCTAACATTGCTAAAAGAGCAAAATTAAATGATTTAATTGAAAAAAACCAAGTAGATACCAAATTCAAAATAAAAAAAAGTATAGGTACATCTAATATAATTATTGGCAGATTTTTATTTTATTATCAATTAATGTGATTGTTAATTTTTTTATAAAATATCTAATATCTAATGTAATTAAGTAAAATTTAAGTACTATCGGATATATATGGAGCTCTCTCAAAAAAAAATTTCGAATGGACTGTTGATCATTTAAAGAGCTACATTTTAGTTTGTGCCATTTTATACATACCATATTTAGGCTAACAATAATTTAGTGTGTCTTCTATTAATTTCGATTTGATTTTTTTTTTCAAACTTTATGTTATATAAAATAAACTTTTGATGCAAATGAATCTATTTGTTATTATTAATTCATTGTCCTCAATAATCCTTTTTTTAATGAAAAAGAGATATTTATATAAGAATATACCAATGATAATTGTCCCCTATCTAAAAAAGTATTCAGACTATAAAACACTTTTTTATTCTGACAAAAGTGTAATATTTCTTTTTCTTTTTTTTTTTTAACCTGACTGATAAGTTATATATATTCCTATATCTAATAATTATACACAGACACATATTTAAATAAATATTTTTAAAATTTTAATAAGTTAAATCTACGATTTTCAATACAAAATAATTTCTTTCGTAATTATGAACATAAATATTACTACTAGTATTATGTTTTAAATTTAATTTAGTGGAGGACTTGAAGCATTGAATTTGGCAGCGTAACTGCGCAAGAGAATGGTGGGTTAACTGGTTTCATTCAGGCCCAGGAGCCTCAGGAGGGAGACGATAGGATAAGGGCGTTTTATCCAAATTGATCGATTGCGTTCTCTGTTACGCGAGAATCACCCGTCTTCTTCCTCTCAACGGTTCAATGTCGTCAATTCACCTTACCTGTCAACGCCCTCTTCCTTCACTGAGCTACTCTTCTTCTTCGTCTACCATATTCTCTTTCAGCCCCACCAATGTTTCTCTGCAGTTCTACAATAAAAGACGCTCTCTTCCCACTCTCCTGCCACTTCCCCGGCGACTCAGTGTTGTCGCCATGGCTCCGCCTAAGCCCGGTGGGAAGGCCAAGAAAGGTACCACTCTTTTCTTTGCCCTAATCCACCCCCTGCTTCTCTTCTAACCGAACAGTGCTTTGCGTCTCTCTTAGTGATTGGAGTGATAAAGCTAGCTCTTGAGGCTGGGAAGGCCACGCCTGCTCCTCCCGTTGGTCCTGCACTTGGTTCCAAAGGTGTCAACATTATGGGCTTCTGTAAGGATTATAATGCCAGGACTGCTGACAAGGCCGGTTATGTCATTCCTGTGGAAATCACTGTCTACGATGTGTGTTTATCTGCTCTCCTACCTTATTTGTTTGGTTGCCTTTGGAATTTTTCCCTGATGGGGTGTCTTTCTATTTCTTTTATTTTCTTGTTTCTTCACGATTATACTATTTTCTCGCAGGATAAAAGCTTTACCTTCATATTGAAGACACCGCCAGCTTCAGTTCTGCTTCTTAAGGCAGCAGGTATGATGTTTAACAATGCCCGGAAGCTGTTTGATGCCGTGTATCTTATTGTACTTTATCTGTTGTTATTGCTTTAGCTACCATTTCTTTGAAATTTCAATGTCCTATTGTTATATTGTGAGCTATACCAAGTGAACAAGCATCCGGCTATTTTTAACTTATATATGGAACAGTTTGATACCTTACAAAGAAAGGCTTAGTTAAAGAAGCTTTATATTCTGAGCCCAGCCTAGCAGTTTCCTGGGTAATGAGACATTGTCGATCTTAGCTTTGTGGTATGGATTATATATTTGTTGCCCATTGTTCTTTTTCATATTATGGATAATAGGTTATTGTAGGTAATTGGGTAGAAAGAGAAAATAGTTGGTTGTTTTCTTTTCACGGGAACTGATAGATTGGATTTGGTATCATAGATTAATGATGTTGGTTGGCTATGTAGGGGTGGAAAAGGGTTCGAAAGACCCCAAGATGCAAAAGGTGGGAAAGGTCACAATTGATCAAGTGCGTGCAATTGCTACTGAAAAGTTGCCAGATTTGAATTGCACAACTATTGAATCAGCCATGAGGATTATAGCAGGCACTGCAGCAAATATGGGAATTGATGTTGACCCTCCTCTTCTTGAACCCAAAAAGAAGGAAATCCTGTTATAAGGCCACATTTCAATGCTTGATTTACTACTACTTCACAGAAGTCACTAGCACGGCTAGATCACTCAAGATATTTAGTGTATTGTCTCCTTCCAAAGAGCTTTTCGCAAGTGATGGTGCCTGTCTCTCTGTTAATCTTCCCTTGCCCAGTCATTACAACTCTGTTTTGTCACAGTAAATGAGAGAGCCGTAACCAATTTTCTCAATATTTAGCCGGCGTAAATTTTTCAGTTCTTTCAATCCAGACGTTGTAGTTGTTGTGGTGTTATACTTAAATTTAAACAATGTCCTTGCAAAGAATTTCTTCTCCGCCTTCTCTTCCATTCTCTTAATCACATAATTGAACTTTAAATGTTAAATAAGTTCAACTCCAAACAATAATCACATAAGTGAACAATGTAATGAATAAAAGTTCTTAATTGGGGTCGCATTTTCCGATGTAGTTGGTCCTTTCCAGTCATCTTGGTAATTGCTGGGGTAATCAAGAACAGGAATAGAGTTCGCTTCTGTGCACGACCAGAATATGCGCTTGGCCTAGCTTAATACCACAAAATGGACTGACTTGGAAAGGTTATTGTTATGTGATTATCGTAAGAGGATTGACTCTAAACATTAAAATAACCAAAACCTTAGGCTCTTTTATGCGGAAGCGAAGAGGAATTGTGTATGTTTCAAACAAAACGTGATTGAAGTCAATTTCACTGAAGCCATTTGCAGGAGGTTGACGTTGAGGAAGACTTGAAAGGGAAACAATCCAATTTTACTAGCCGAAAGGCGAGAAAAGCACAAAACCTATTGAATCCCAGACGTGGAATAGAAACTAACGGTGCTTACAAGGAGGAAAAAAGGGGGAAATTAAGGGTGAAGCAAGCAGCTCAATCTCAAGGTTTAGTGAAGCCATTAGGCCAAATTCAATCCAATGTTGAATGATAAATAACACAACACGCTTTTAATCAGGATGTCAAATTCATGCCTTGTAAACGAATAGTTGATACCACCAGACCGAGTTTTTTTTTCAGGAAAAAAAAAAATTGTCTCGGATATATAAGGGGAAGCAAAAGCATTAAAAAGGCCATTCTACAACCAAAACTAAAATTTTTGTTAGCGCAATCTCGCTTGACAAATGTAACGCCTATGCTGATTGTCCCAAGTCCTGGAAGTTTCAGTCTAACCAAACTGGAATTACACTTCCACAAGAATCGAAGAGTACTTAGCCGTCATATAATCAAATCTCAATGTGAAGGATAAATTATGAAAAGGATTACACATCAGTATTGACCACATACTGAGCAACTCTCGTTTTTTAACAAGGGTGCCTTCTCTTTTATCGAGGTCCAGAAAATAAGGCTTTGCTAATTATGCCCGTGGCCTCAATATATCGTTCCACACATCTAGAGACGCAACTGCTTTCGCTTCCACTTAAGCTTGACCCTGGTTTTGTGATGCACTTCTCAAAACACTTCCCCCTCACTGTCTGCAAAATCAATAACAATTCGAACATAAATGGCAGTTAAGCAAATCATCTTTGGATAAAATTGTTGCCCAAAGCAGCACTCAATTATCAACCAACATTTGTAGCATTGTAGGACCTTCTTAGTCCATAGCATTGCTCTTCCCTTGCAAATATATGAAAAGATCCTATTATTTTCCCAAAGGCACTCTCTTTTAGTTAGGAATAAGCTATATTACCACAAAATAATTTCATGACAAATTTGTGAGAAGTAATGAAAAAGAGCGTGATAAAAAATAACTGCACAAACTTATCCTCATTCGAATAATTGCAGTCAAATAGATTAATGTTGATTTTTGTCATCAATGATATTCACAGAAGCATCACCTTAATAACCAGTTATTCTGGGTAATAATACCATTGCACGAGCCTCGTTCAACAAGATGAAAATGCCACGGTGCAATCCTTTGTGGTTAGACCAATATATCCTCATTAACAGTGGCAGCAGGTAAATTAATTTTCTAAGTTGGCACTTGAATACTTGATATAAATCTGGTTGGTGTCTAACCAAATTCTCCAGCTTTAGAACATACATATAGAGAGAGAGCGAGAGAGAGCACTTTTCGTGCGAAACAATTTAAACAGCATACGATATCTACGCAAATCAAATTTGATGGGTCTCAGAAGCTAGCTAATTAGGTTAGAGAACCATTCCATTTAAATTCCCCATTGAGCATCATAAAGAAACTAAGGTATTCCATACTACTTTCAGACTTCATCAATTGGCCTCCTTAGAAAGGGGGCCTCCCATTAACTATCTATCTCATTCAAATCTCACACTAAACTTTTGACATATGGTTATCATATTACTAACTGAAGGATGAGAATACTTAATTAAAAAAAAAAGTAAGAGAATTTTTATGGATCAAAAATATATTCTTTCTGTAAAATAGACGCTCGTGTGTCATCACTTGACATTGGTTATACATTTTTTATATAAACAAAAGCGTGAAATTATTTCAAATATACTCGTTGAGCTCAATATCAATGTAATTATTCAGTTATGGCCCGCATGTTGTATCGACTATGAGGACACTATATCCAATAAATCAAGCAGAGTGGTTCACAATGTTTTGCAGCCACATTTGAGGGGAATATGAGTTCATTGTTTCATAAACAATGAACGAACAACCAGAAAAAGAAAGAGCAACGATCATTTGAATAGAAAAGGCACAGCAAGAGAGAGAGAGGGAGGGAGGGAGAAGAAACCTCGAGGAATTCTTCGGCATAGGCCTGAGCGAGCTGTGTCTTGAGCTGGTCTTTGAAATCCTCAGAGTTGAAATGGGACGATGATCCACTCGAGGGACTTGAGAATGAATCCATTTGCTTCGCTTCTCTCTCAAGTCAATCTTCCGCCCAACCCCTCTGCCTCCACCGCTTTACCACTGAGCTAACCTAGCAGCAAGCTCTTCCTGATTTTGTTCTACGAATTGGTTCATCCGACCCTCAAATTAATCAACAAGCTGGCCTCAATCTAGAATGGGCCTAGGCCCACAAATTATTAGGCCGGTTTGATTTCACTTTTCTATTTTATGTTCATACAACGCGCACGGGACTACTCAAGATGTTCTGGTGATCAATGGGGCATTATCATCCGTGAACCCTCTTACCCTCTGTTTAATAATATCATATTGAGGGGATAATTTTGTGGGTGAAAGACATATAAGAACCAAAAAGATAAAAGAATATCAAAATGATTTCTTAAATTGTTTTAATTTTTATGAAATTTTTAGGAGCTATTTTAAAATTATTTTTTTTCAAATGACCTAATTGTCCTCATATAAATGTATGGATATGGATATGAAATTTAATCCCGCCGTCTTTTGGTCCCAAAAAATTTTATGATCGGTAATTTGTTGATATTTCTTAATAATATAGTAGAAAATATTATATCAAACAACTTAAATTATATTACCTCCAATTCTAATTATAAGACCTCATTTGTAGACTATAAACTATAAACGAGATCTTATAATTAGGACCAGAGGTTGTATGTATTTCTCGTCTTTATTGATTGCATAACCAGAAATTTTCAATACACGGATGGATTGTCATTATTTTTGGTCAAACAAATAGCAGCATCATCAATATTAGATTGAGTGTTTGATTTAAGGTATTTTGAGGAAATATGTTGAAGAAATTTTATCTTGTAAAACGACTTCTTTTTTTTTTGGGAGAGATCGCCAAAATGAGTCTGATGCAATTTCACGTGATGAATATTGCTCCATAGTTTTCCTCCACATCCCTTGAACCGAATAATAATTACTACTAGTGGACATGACCTCAAATGCTTGGACCACTTCTTATTTGGACGGTAACCATTATCTCCGCACTACCCTTGACTCACAAACCATCTTCATCACTAATAAAATCATATATGAAAAATAAATACGTTTACATCACTTCTAGTTCTATTTCATGTTAATTACTACCTCATATTCTAATTATAAGATCTCGTTTGCAGACTACAAATGAAGTCTTATAATTAAGATCGAAGTTAGTACATAAATCATTTTTTATTTCAAAACTAATGCTTTAATTTTTTTTTTTTTTGGTCAAAAAACTAATGCTTTAATCTTACGTTTTATCATTCTTAACAAGATATCCTTAGAAGATTCTGAAAAGCAATTGGAATCCTAGTAACTTGACTTTGCCTATTTTCACTAAACTGAAAAGATGGACAGAAAGGAACTTAACTTTAACATGGAAATAAGCTTCACATATAAGTAAGAAAAACTTTCGAACAGAAGCTCTCAAGTCTTTCTCTCTTAAATCTCAGCCTCTGCAACGCAGTGCAGGAATCCATATCCATTTTTCATAACATAGTTGTTTTCTGATCACTACGAAACCCTAAGTCCATTACATGAAGAAGCTCAGTAGTCAAGTGGTGGCGGGTTTGGCCGAGAAAAAAGCAAGAGCCCCAACCAGGGGTGCATTGATATAAGTCGCCGGCTCCGATTGCTGATAGTTGTTGCGATCATCAGAGAACCGGTCGGAACTGTCGGGTCCTCCGACGATGGCTCCGACCAACAGATTAGGATTAGGAGAAGAAGAATGGAAGTACTGAAAGCCGTCATCGCAGGAAATACGTTGAGGGTGATCACGAATGGAAGGCACAGAAGAACCCCTGTGGTGAATATTCTTCGGATACCTATCTCCAAAACCCACCATGTACGACATTTTCTCCGGATTATCCCCTAAAATGTAATCAACTTGCTTTCTAGCCAGCCCAACGAGGCTCTGTGCCGTCACGGTGGAGCCACCACACCGCACTCCGATGGAACTCGAACCCAGATACTTTGCGTATGTCAAGAGCACCAAGCTCGTAGATGTAACATACTGCAGATTGCTCTCGCTGCCTTTGTAAAGAAGCCCACCTGCAAAATCATCACTTCAATTACTTCTCTCTGAGTTTAAACCAACTTCAAAAACAATATACATATCAGCAATGGCTCTTCTTCAGACCTGGGGTGTACTGAGCCTGGAAGCCTGGTGATCCTGGTACTAGTGAGCAAATGTAATTGTCAGCGTGTGCTTTATATAGTTCAAGTTCTTGAGTGTTCTTCTCCAAGAACTCCTGTGACAGTATTTGTGTATGTTAGCAATTAGCACTGAGCCGCAGATGAAGAACAAGAAAGAAAATTAAGCTCAGGAAATACCTGGGAAAGCAATACTTTGGTTCCTGCTCGCTTGTCATCCCAACTGAAGGAGTAAGTATCATCATCTGCACCTAATACGTGCCCATTGGACTGTATATAATTCATGAAGGAACTAATTCCAGAGGCTTTGTAAATCCACGAAGCACCCCACAGAAGCTCATCCTGATCACAATGCATAGTCATATACATATTATTGAACGCTTAAGACGAGGTTGCGTTGAGAGTGAGACGATAACCAGGCAGGTATTGAACTTACATGATATCCAGAGTAAGAGCAATAGAATGGACAGACCACGGAGTTAAGAGAGTCACTATAAGATCCCCTGTAACGGTCTGCAAAATCGAAGACCTGAAAAGAGCGTCACGAGATGAGACGTGGATACATACATACATGCATACATATATATAAGCATGGCAATTATAAGCAGGGATGGAAGGATGGAAGTCAAATAGTACTTTGATGGCTGCTTGAAGTAGTTTGGAGGAATATGAAGGGTCGGATTGCTTGAAGACTAAAGAAGAAGCTGCTAAAGCAGCAGCAGTCTCAGCTGCTACGTCTGATCCTGGGCTTTGAGGTGTCACTTTGTACACGTTTCTTGGAGTGTCCATGTCTTCAGGCCTTTCCCAACACTTATGATCCATGTTAGGATCTCCTACCTGCCAACCCACAACTATGCTTGATACATTTCTATCACTTGTTCATTCTTAAACAAAGCGCGCGTGTATAAATATGTATATATTCTCTGCAATAAGTGGGGCTCTCTTACTTGGACGTATAAGGTATCAGGAGTGGAAGTGGCTGCTTTAAGCAGATAATCAGAGCTCCACTTGACAGCAGCTCTGGCATTTTCAATCTGATCCCCCATTGAGCTTCCGAATTCAATCACACTCCATGCCAATAACGTAGTGGTGAATGCCATTGGAAGTCCAAACTTGACGTTATCGCCAGCATCATAATAACCTCCCACCAAGTTCACCTGAACCAACGAATCAAACGTGTCTTAATCTCACAATATATATCACACCAAGTGTTTTTTACTCAAGAGATTACAGAATATAAGGAATATATGTATATATAGACACAGACATGATAGGAAGAACCATCGGACAAGGCAGAATCACCCCTCCAAGTGAGGTGCTGGTTGGAGGGTAATTTGCCAGAACGCTGGCCTTCAAAGAAGAGAATGGATTTCTTAAGGGCGTCAGAGTATTGCTGGGAAGTGAATGCATGAGCAGGTGAAGCTAGTAAAGTGGACAGAATCATGAAGCAGAGGCACAGCCACATTGTGGAGAGAGAAGGAGGAGAAGGAGAAGAAGAAGACAACATTGTATAGAAGTGTGTGAAGAAGATTATATGCATCTGATGATTCGAATTGAATATTGGTGAGAGGGCGAGGCATGCAATTTATAGGGAAGAAGAAGCTGAAGGAAGTTGGATGGCAGGTAAAGTGGCCGTTACAACTCTGCCATTGATTGGTTACAGTTAACGGAATCAACTGCGCCAAACAGGGCTGGATCTAATATGTTTCTGAGGGTTGAATTAAGTGAGCCCGCGCAAGCATACCAGATTCCTTTCTGATAAGGACAAGTAAAAATAAGCGCATGGGAACTGTTCTTGATGCTTATTACATGGAAAGACTATTAAAGTTTGAGTCTTTAGAAATTATATATGTTTTAGTGACCAAGTCACGGGGCACACTTAAGAGACTATGAAGTCACATGAGGGTATGATCGGTCAAGTTGATGAAGGGAACGAGTTTTCTAAACAAAGGGGTAGGCCTGCAAGAACTTTGTTGAAAAAGCAGAGAACAAGGCTGAATTAGATAATCCTTAATGTGTACCATGTGATAAGGATGTACTCACATGTATTTGTGGATTTTTTCCTTATTCCTTTTCGGTGGGGCTGCGAATTGCTGCCAAAAAGAGAGAATAATGCGCCTTAATTTTTGGCTTATTCTAAATTCTCCTTTTTGGCTCCTTCATTTCCTCCTAATTCCGGCACATTGACTCTGTCTCAAAGTTTGTTGTAACTATCAAGTTTGGCTTTATTTATGCATTAAAATCTGCAAATGCAGAGCTACACGCAGTGGAAAAATGACAGTACATGCCTTAATTTGGGACTTTTAATGAATCTTGTTTACATTTTTCGTCGTCGTCTTCTTTTTTCTCCCCCTTAAATTCAATACTAAACCTGTCAGTACATGTTTGTGTTAATTATTTTGTTATATAACCTCCACAAAGCCTGCTCAGAGACTGCCCTTTCTCCCCTCTGAACAACTACTCCCTCCTCCTCTCTGTTTCGTTAGTTACGGAGTTTCTTTCTTCATTGGATTTTCAAATATGCTTTGAAACCCTTCATTATTAAAGTAATCATAAATAGTATTAAATGCCCAAGGAGTGGCGTTGTTGTATTGCAAAGCCTAAAATGAATCCGAATTTTAATTTATAAAATCATCTTATTTTTCATTGGGGAATTACTTTTTCCCAAACTTGCCGATTCCATTGTCTCTCAACTATTCCCATCCCATGCTTATAGGCCATGCCTCCTTCGTCACGCCATTCATGTTAGTCATTACTTACACCAAAAGTCAACCATCGTCCAAAAGAATAAAAGCGAAATTACTTGAAAATTTATTTCCAGCTCCACGCCTGAATTTAAGCACATAATGTAACAAGTAACCTCTCTAACATGAGAATGTTATTTAACCACATAAGTCTTGTCAACAGCTAATTGTCTTAGTGACAACACCATCCGTCATCTTTAAACAAAACTTAACATTAATATCTTTGTGTGTGTCTTTAATTATATTATATTAAAAAACCACACAAATCTTGTATGCTTAAACCACATTACTTAAAGCTTTGTTAAATATTGATCTTTGATTCGTAATATAAAATCCACTTTGAATAAGATTTCTTTTAGAAAAAATGACAAAAAATACTTATTAAATTTTAAAATGATAAATAAGTCATTTTGATAGACTTTGACTTGTTAAACCCACTGCAAGAATAGTTAACACGATTTATTTATCTTTTTCAAATTGAAGAGATAATTTTCTGTCATTTTTTTTTTATTTTTACAGATGAATCTTTTTATAAAATGACATCTAATTCTTAAGATTCTTTTTAGTGCAAGGATCGGAGGTATTACTATACTTTATAGAGTTTAGTAATTACAGCCTCCGCGATGTAATGCAGGAATTCGTATCCATTTTTCATAATGTAGGTGTTTTTTCATTACTACAGAATCCTAAAGTCCGTACATGAATGCGTAATCAAGTGGCGGCGGCTTCGGCGTTGGCTGAGAAAAAAGCGAGAACTCCGACCATGGGTGCGTTGATACAAGTCGCAATCTCGGATTGCTGATAGTTATAGCGATTATCAGAGAACCGGTCGGAACTGTCGGGTCCTCCGACGATGGCTCCGACCAGCAGATTGGGGTTAGGAGAAGAAGAATGGTAGTAGTACTGATATCCGTCGATGCAGGAAACACGTTGAGGGTGATCGTGAATGGACGGTATAGAAGAACCCCTATGATGAATTTTCTTTGGATACCTATCCCCAAAACCCACCATGTACGACATTTTCTTCGGATTATCCCCTAAAATATAATCAACTTGCTTTCTGGCCAGTCCGACGAGGCTCTGAGCCGTCACAGTGGAGCCGCCACACAGCACTCCGGTGGAGCTCGAACTCAGATACTTTGCGTATGTCAAGAGCAGCAAGCTCGTCGATGTAACATATTGCATATTGCCCGTGCTGCCTTTGTAAAGAAGCCCACCTGCAAAACTCATTAATTATTTCAATTACTTCTCTTAAGCTTAGTACATCAATTCCCACCTGCAAACTCGTTAATTATTTCAATTACTTCTCTTAAGCTCAATAAATCAATTCCCACCTGCAAAACTCGTTAATTATTTCAATTACTTCTCTTAAGCTTAATAAATCAATTTGTAAAATCATGAGTGCTTCTTCTTCAGACCTGGGGTGTACTGAGCCTGGGAACCTGGTGATCCGGGCATTAGTGAACATATATAACTGTCAGCGTGTGCTTTATATAGTTCAAGTTCTTGAGTGTTCTTCTGCAAGAATTCCTGTCACAGTATTTGTGTATGTTATCAGTATTGAGTCATAATTATATAAAGAAAAAGAAAGGAAACTAATTAAGCTGGATAATTAAGTACCTGGGAGAGCAATACTTTAGTTCCTCCTCGCTTGTCATCCCAACCAAAGGAGAAGGTACCATCATCTGCCTCTAACACGTCGCTGTTGGACAGTAAATAATTCATATAGGAACTAATTCCAGAGGCTTTGTAAATCCATGTCGCACCCCACAGAAGCTCGTCCTGATCACAGCGCACATATATGTATGTGTGTGTGTGTTAGGAAATGTTTGAGACAGAGTTGGGTTAAGACTTGAGAGGGAGACGAAGCATGTATTTATTATTGAACTTACATGATATCCAGAGTAAGAACAATAGAATGGACAGACCACGGAATTAAGGGACTTACTATAAGATCCCCTGTAACGTTCTGCAAAATCAAAAACCTGAAAAGTGTGTCACGTGCATGCAAATGACGGAGAATTGGAAGTATGGGATACCAAATCCCATGTTGAGTAGAACGAAATATTCAACGCGATATTTGAGTGGGTTGGTTATTCCACCTCAATAGTTATAGCTTTTGGGATAGAATTCCAATCCCACTTAAGTACCCATCAGGAAAAAATAAAAAATAAATGAGAAGGTGAGTGTTGATATTTACTTGAATGGCTGCTTGAAGTAGTTTGGAGGAATATGCAGGGTCGGATTGTTTGAAGACTAAAGAAGAAGCTGCTAATGCAGCAGCAGTTTCAGCTGCTACATCTGATCCTGGGCTTTGAGGGTTCACCATGTACACGTCTCTAGGAGTGTCCATGTCTTCAGGCCTTTGCCAACACTTGTGATCCGTGTTAGCCTCTCCCACCTACGCAGCAACAATTCCATGTAATTTAATTTTCCATCACTTTGTTCATTGTTAACAATCTATCTACGTATTTGGTTGGTAACTGAGTACAATGGTGACGTGTAATTCATGTAATTAACCCCACCAAGTAGATAAGGTTTCTCATTCACTTACTTGGACATATAATGTTTCAGGAGTGGAAGTGGCTGCTTTAAGCAGATAATCAGTGCCCCATCTGATAGCAGCTCTGGCATTTTCAATCTGATCCTGCATTGAGCTTCCAAACTCAATCACACTCCATGCCAATAAAGTAGTGGTAAATGCCATTGGAAGCCCAAACTTAACGTTGTCCCCAGCATCATAATAACCACCCACCAAGTCCACCTGAACCATCGAATCAGATGTGTCTTAGTTTCACAATACAAATCACCAAGTTTTTTGACTCGAGAGACCAGAAAATAGAAAGAATATATATATAGAGACACAGACGTGGTAGGGAGAGCCATCGGACAAGGCGGAATCACCCCTCCAAGTGAGGTTCTGGTTGGAGGGTAATTTGCCAGAACGCTGGCCTTCAAAGAAGAGAATGGATTTCTGAAGAGCGTCACGGTATTGCTGGGAAGAGAATGCTGCGTGAGCAGGTGAAGCAGAGAGGATTACGAAGCAGAGGCATAGGCACATCGACATTGTGGAGGGAGAGGAAGAAGCAGAAGCAGAAGCAGACAATGTCAGTGAATAAACTATAAGTATATGGTTTGCAGAGAATATTCCTATTCATGAGATGGTGATGAGGAATTGAATTAATTGAATTTATAGGAAGTTGGAAAGGCAGATAAAATCCTAAAGGCTTAAATTAGTTCCCTACTTTGTGACCCTGAACAATCGGGTATACCACATTACTTCAATTCGATTTTGGTATGACAGAAGAGGTAAAGCAAAGATTATTTAGTACTCTTATGGTGTTGTTTTTTGTTCAATTATTCGCTAAAATAATATGGCGTGACAATAGAGGCAAACGAGTACCCCGCCCCGCAAGAATGATAAATGTTCTCTTAAATTATTATTACCAGACCCATTCTTCTTCTGTTTCGTTTTGAAAAATAATTCTTTTTTTCAAAACAATTTCGAAAGAAGCCATCAGTAACGGATGGTAAGGGCTTGGCTTCTCATTGATTGGGCTGCCACAAAAAGTTTGGTAGCTTGCAGGCCAACACTTCCATTTTTAGTCTATAAAATCGTTTTTTTCCCCCTCCTCTTTACCAAAAAAAATCGTTTTTTCCCTTTTGTTCTTTTTAATCACGGAATTACTTTCTCTCTAAGCTTGCCTATTTTTAATGACACATAGGCCATAGTTGAAACTTGAAAGAAAGAGCCTCAATTCATTGCCCCATGGGTATCTGCGAGTCCAGACCCATATATTATTGGGTGCCATATCTCAATTATTTCTGATGCTCATAGGCCACGCCTCCTTCATTATTCTGAAGGACGTCAAGTCATATTATCAAACACCAAAAGTCAATTAATCACCACCCAAGAAAATTAACCTAATAATATATTTCCGGAACTTAAATGCGCATAATGAAGTAAGAAAAGTCCAAACTTATACACCACCGGACTTCACAGTATAATCACAATTACCCGATTCTACAGATGAAGGATCCATTTGCTGCCAATCATTCAGTTGGGTCATGCTTATTTGGGCTATAACTTAACTAAGAAAAATGAACCTAGATATGTAATCCCATCACATGTAAATTAGATATTAAACGATGAGAAAAACTTGTGTACGCAGAATTCAGTTCCTTGAAGCAGACAAGCATCATCACTAAACCACAGTGACAAAACCTCATATATCTCTTTATGTTACATATATACAAATGGATAAAACAAAAACAAAAAACAAAAAAAAGACCAGACATGTGCCAGTGGATAATGCTTTACAGTATGATTACAATATATGATGCTGAATATTAAGGCTCATCTATTTGTGACTGTAATAACTATTTGAAAGAGAAGAAGAAGAAGAAGAAGAACCAGATATGTAGTTGCAATGTATATGATATTTCGTGATGCATGACTCAACTGGGAATATGTGCTCATGCTTGTAGTTTAGGACAGAGAGGAGAGTTTGGATTTGCCACAGAGCCTGCAAGTTATTAGTCAGATTTGTAAGTAAGTTAATTTCTGATTGATATCACAAAAGGAGGGTTATACTCACAGATTTCAGCATAACAGGGTTGTTTAGAAACTGGATCCTCTTCAAATGGAGGTGGAACTTGGCCATACACCATCTCACAACTCATATCTTCAAAATCTGATATCAAATTAGCCAGGCTTCATTTTGGGAGTCCAAAAATCCAATCAACATTATTACTCCCTCCAGTCTTTTATATCAGACAGAAAAAATGGATAGTTCTATACTCCTCTGGTCTTATTTATAAGGCACTTTCAACATGTTTCACACAGACCAAGAAAACCTTAAACTGTATTAACTATTCATTAAAATATAGCAACTTTCCAATTTTATCTATATTTAATATATACATATTTCAAAAAAAATAACTATCTACACTATAATAAATAAAGAATAATATAGTACATTCATGGTAAAAATTTAATGAAGTGACCTATTAGACAAAAAAACACCTTCTCTCTTTATCCTATAAATAGGACCAGAGGAGTATATATTAGTCACCTAATGGAGGATTAATTAAGTTTTCCAAGATTGTCACTCTTTTCAATTTTTTCCAAGTACACTTAATCATGAATGAGGATTTTTTCCCCACTTCATGCTTTCAAATAGAGGTAATGTGGATTTTTTTTTTTTTTTTCATTTACAGACAAAGTTAATAACTTAACCACTTGTCTTTAGTTCTAATGAGGGTTTAGACGAGACTTATATAAAGACCAGGGAGGGAGTAATTAGCATTCAAACCTTAAAAAAGGGAGTTTCACAACGTACTAGGGATCATTGTTAGTGGAAGTCCAAACTCATTAGTGAAAAATCTTGGGTAGGAATTTTGCACATATTGACACACATGCCAACGCAGCCACTGTTCTCTAGGTACCTTGAATTTGATAAGAAGAATAGAAGAACTATTATTAAGGGCTTCAATCTTTATACAAATTAACAGCTGCTACTAATTTTATTTTCACTTGATTCCCATACCTGCACTTCTTTATATGCACACCACTTTTCTGCTTCACCCCATTTACCTCTACTTCAATAACCTAAATGCATCTCAAGAAGTTGAATATCAGTGACAGCACCGTACAGAGTCGTAAGAGAGGGAAACCTAGGATGACTTGAAATAATTAAAAACCATGCAATAAGATCAAAGAATCAGCCAATAGTCCAAATTTTGTTACACCAAGGCCTTGATAAAGATACGTGCGTATCATAGAGTATATGTCTCAAATAACCCAGCCAAATCGACGAATTTCAAATCAAGTTTACTAATCTAGTTTTGGCACAAACATTTCATGATAAAGCATCACCACTTGATGAAGCAAACGTCAAAAGATTTGATAAAGCATCCCCACTTGATGAAGCAAACGACAAAAGATTAACTACTCCCCCAAAATTAGAAAGAAAAAAGAAAGTTATAGTTTCAGCTTCACAAAAAGCATGATCCTAAACAGAAAACCATGAGTCTGACACTGCTTAAAGCACCGAAAAGACACATTAGTAATTAGCAACCTTTGGTTAATCAGCGTTTAGCTTCAAAGTAAGATATAAAAACCAAAAGAACTAAAAGATGTAACAACAACTACATCAACATCAACAAGAACTTGCAGGCATGTTGAATCCAGAATGGTATGATGATGAGGCAGAGAGAGGAAATAACCTCAGAAGGGCCGACGAGCCAGTGGAAGAAAGGGACAGTCAAAGCAGCATTGAACTCCGCAGCCCACTTAGTGGGTGGGAATAATTTCCTGAACTAGAGTAACACAGTTAACCAGAAGACTTCACAGAAGAAGCTAGAAAGAAAGCACAGTGAAATAAGAAGAAAAGGGAAGGGAATTGGAACCTGAGCAGGCACCAGGAGGAAGCATGGACAAGAGAACCTCTCTGACCACCTTGCTGCTGCTGAAGACGAGACCTTCCCTGCATGACCCGCCTCGACACATCCACGAATGACTCGTAGTCATAGTCCCACTCTTTCTTATTTTTGTTATCAGTACTGGGCTTTCGGGGAGCGAACTTTTCCATCTTGCGAGCAAACAGAGTCATGAATGCCTTCTCGAAAATGCCGTCATTGTAACGAGTCTTTTGTCCCAGGGGAGCCGGTTCGCCTGATGGCTCGGCAATCCCACACCGAACCACGCCCACCGGTTTCATCCCTTGCCGATGGGGATATCGGCCGGCACGAGTAGGGCCGGTTAGCTGTACTCCATGGAAGCTTAGAATCGCCATGAATTCCGACTGCTCAGTTTCACACCACTCTGCGTTCGGAAGTGGGAAGCCCACGTTTAGATAGGCTTCCACCTGTCACCAACGCTCGATTTTTAACCACACAAAATATTTCTTCTCTTTCAACGCCACGCAGCTACCACGTTCCCAGCTAAACCAACCTCACGTTTCCCGTTCTTCTCTTTTTCTTTCCCAGTACTTCTTCCTAATTCGAGCAGCTTTCATATTGGGCCTCCATCGTCACAAATCCACACACTATCAAAACTCAAAAGATGGGCTTCTTTTTTTAGATTTCAATATGCACCATTTTTTCAGCTCATGAAAAGAAAAGTCTTGCTTGCGAAACCCATATCAGTTTGTAGAACCCAATCCACTTATTTTATGAGCCCAATCAACAGGTCCAGTACCACGGCCAGTCGCCGCCCACAACCGGGCAATAACTGAAGAGAAGATTGCCTCGTTTTGCGGCAATCTCTGCCTCTGATCAAATCCGATGGTCCCGACAGGCTACTCACAGTCGTTGATTATTAAGGACTTTGCTGATGCCAAATGATGTCCAGAGGATAGGTTGCTAATTACTACGATCTTTAATAAGACCCTATTTGACTTTTATTTTGGTCTTAAATATAAGACCGAATCCACTTTGTCTCTCATATTTATACATTTTTTTCCAAGGAACCCTTTACAATAATAGTTTTAGTCAATATAATTGATTAGTAAAGATATTTTAAGGAAACAACACCTATTTAGGACAAATAACTAACTCAACTTACTTCCTTAATCTCCTCAAATTAGTTAATTGGTTCTATAATTAGAACTAGAGGTGGTATTATTTATGAAATATGATGTAGTATATTAAAAGAGATTTATCTCAACTTGTATAAAATACTTATAAATCACATATCTAAACAAGCCTAAAGAGGTGACGTCTAACTTCCACTCTTCTTGTTGGCTTGAGTGCCCATTGATAACATTAAAAAAAAAAAAAAAGGTCAAAATGAGTGCTTCTGTTTTAGAGAAAATTCATCATTTGATGATTTGGTCCTCATAATTTCTGAATTTTTTGACCATCAATACATAGAAAGCTCAAGTATATATCTTCGCTTTAAATTCAATCATGAAACGATATATTAACAATAAGGAGCAGTTTTATAATGAACCCATGCATAATATAATGCTGCATCCAATTTATTTGTAAAAAATAATTTATTAATAAATGTAAACTATAAGTTGTTCCTTATAAATAGGTTATAGGAGGTAACGCTTCAGTGAAAACTAACGGGTGTTTAGAATGATAAGATTGATTAGCATGCTAAGAAAATTAAATCTTGTGAATAGGAATATGTATATGTGTATTAAGAGATGGCCTGGCTATCCCATTTGAACCTACATGCATGCTCGAATTTCAATCAAAGTGGTTAATTATTAGCATTAGCACTAATTAACATAAAAACTATAAGTTATTCTATGTAGTTATTTGTTACAGAAGGTAAGGATAAAAACATACTAGACTTTGACCAAATAGGCTCGAGCCTGTTACAGGAATTCAAGTTTGAGCTCAGATAAAATAAATTTTAAAAAAATTAATCACGCCAAATCTATAGGATATTTCAAGCTAAGCTTTAGATTTAAAAGCCTAGCCTATTTATCTTAAAAGTTTTCTAAATAGGCTTCAGGATTGACTTATTAGGCTTTAGGATTGCTAAACATGTCAGGCCATATTAGGCTCCTATTGGCTATTAGGAATCTAGTCTTCTTCCATTCCACAGAGAGAGAGAGAGAGAGCTATATATAATTATTAGGAGGGGAATGCATTAATGGAGGAAGAAGAATAAGCGAAGTGGGAGAAGGGATTAAAAAGAGTGTTAGATTGGAAGAAGAGCATGTGTGGAGATGGAGGAGGCACATGGGCTCGTTACCAGAAAAGCAAAAAACAACAAAACAGACAGATGCATATGGTTAGTAATGTTAGGGAAGAATGAACGAACAACACTATACAATGAGACCAATAAAAAAAAGACAAACAATTACAGAAATTCTTGGAGATATTAAGGACAGCCAGCCAGCCAGCCACACACAGCCTCCTCGTAATAACTCACCGCTCATTTAAAACAGAACAGTGATGAATCAAATCAAAATATCCAAATATATAGTACTATGCATGCATGCAGTTGCGCAGTATCAATAAATAATAACAGCAATTCATTCACACACAGTCAACGTCCACGTCCACATCCACGTCCACGTCAGCAATATCGAAAGTTCTCTCCGTCTTTACCAGAAGCCCTTGCTTACAACTTGCTCATGTCCTCACTATATAAGTCATCTTTAGAAACAGTTTTTTTATCCCAAATACAATTCATCCACAGCCTCATATTCATTACTTTTTTGTGTGTCCCATTTTACTCTCGTCACTAGTTAATTGAGGGTTAAAATTGAAAAGTTCCAATCACATCGTTTAAAGAGGTCAGAGTTGGAAAAGCCTATCGATTTAAAACAAAGTAATTGACTTAACTGCCATGTTACACTTAGCATGCGAGAATTAGTCAGAAGTGCCCTACAATAAGGATAAGAGGAATTACGAGACAGAAAGAGCGGGCATTGGAAAGAAAAAGTCTAAATATAAGCAGAAATCCAAAAAGATATTGTGATTTCTAAGCAATGGTAGAGGCGCGTGTATATATACATACTTCCGATCTTAATTATAAGATCTCGTTTATAACTTATAAACAAAATCTTATAATTAGTATCAGGGTTAGTATATATCAACGATGGGCTCAGTGTGATTCTTCATTGTTCCTATGATCTTTCATATTGTTGAGTGGGCATTCATGTGTGAGTCACGAGGGACTACTTTGACTCTATCCTTCTGCACCAATTAAACAACATCGCATAATTCTCCGATCAATGACCAAACTCATCTGTGATGTGTCTCTGTTTGCTTGGGGCGCCTAACCCTCTATTGACTTTTCCAACCGCTTTATTCCCTATTTATTATTTATCAGTGCGGTACTGTGTGCTCTGAAGTTACCATGCATGACTCTTTTAATTACTTCTTCACAGTAGCAAGATTCATTTTTGGTAATGTGATTAATGCGACTCCCATTAATTTCACGGTCATTATCAGTCACTACCATCATGTGTACTAATAACTGAGGGCCAAACTGTTCGGTGGTTTTTTTCCCCCCCTCCCTATTCACAGTTGAACGTGCAAGAGTCTGAGAGGCTCCTTTGCTTGGATTGGACGGCCCGGGGATCCAATTAAGGTCGTTGGGACATTTTCAAAACAAACATATGTGCCGCTCATCATCGCATCATTCATAAATCCAAATTCATTACATTCACACTTTAGTGGACAAGAGTATAACCTTAAATTATCACTTCATGAAAATTACTACTATTGTTATCTTGGTTTGACTTTTAGAAATACATTACTACAAAAAGAGAAGGGAAAAAACAACGAATCAATAACAAAATTTGTAAATTTCATCACAAAAGAGACCATTACTAATTAAATAGTGACAGAATTTCATTGCTAAACTGATTCATTACAAGAATTCCATTGTTAAATTTTGTTGCTAATTCGTTATTTTTTATACTATATATATTCAAAGGTCTTTGTTGTATACTAAAAAAAAATTCACCATCAATCAAATTTGCACTCAAAAACTGTAATGGATAGAGGCTAATTAAGCTTGAAAGAAATTGTTGGCACTAAGGCCTAGCACTCTCTAACTTAATAGGTCCCAAAGTAATTCCTCATTTCATTGTTATAAAACAATTCTAAAATGTGAGATGGGTGCATAGTTTCAGATTTAAAATTTTTAATATGTAATTTTTTCAATGATACATTTATTTTTTCAAATAAACATTAGTTTAGTTATAAGATTATTTAGTTTGAATTTTGTATATGTTAAAATAAAAATTTAATTGAAATATATACAAAAATTAAATTTAATCTAGACCATCCAAAATTAACGTGGATGGTCCAAATTAAGATGAGCATTTCATTCTCATCATTGTAATGAGTATGAAATGTGCTCCCTTAAACATTTGGTAATTGCAAACATATCAATAAAAAAATATCCAGCTATCCTCATAAGAGAAGATGTAGAAGAAAATCATATTAACTTGGATTAAAATGCATCTAGCACCTTATCAGGTGCATCCCGTATCCTGAAATATTTTGTGATACATCTAATGATTAGAAGTATTTTTTTGAGGTGCGTCCAGCACCCTGACGTACTTTTTTAATGCATCTAGCCTAAAATAATTTTTTTAGATATGTCCAACACCCTAAAATATTTTTTTGTACATCCAGTTAGATATACAAAAAAATATTTTAGGGTGTTGGACGCACCTGAAAAATATTTCAAGGTGCTGAACGCATTACAAAACACTTCAAGGTGCTAGGTGCACTCAAGAAAATATTTTGAGGTCCTGAATACACCTTAATCCCATTAATTTTGATGAGATATAAGTCATTAAGCAGCTTATGCTTGTAATTAATCATGGCCACGCTTACAATTCTCTACTATGTAAGGCTGATTGTATATAATACCACCTCCAATCCTTAATACAAGAACTAATTGACTAATCTGAATAGCTTAGAAAATTTTAATAAGTTACTTATTTGTAATAATTAGGTGTTGTCTTTCATAGAATGTCCTTGCTAATTATGTGCATTAGCTATAACTATCATTTAATGGAATCCTTAAAATATGAAACTATTACAAAACTACTTTTAGAAAAATAGATAAATATGACAGATAAAATGGATTGGCAAGGACCGAAGGTGATACAAGATTAGTTAATGAAACAAATTAAGCATGTCTAGATAATGAGGGAATGATTTAAATTTGTCAATTAAGGCCTAACATCCAATGATCATGATGACATATGCATAGAAATACATGTGTGTGCAAGCTACATTAAATATTACATCCGATCTTTAACACAAAATCTACTTAACTCATTTAGTAAGTTAAAAAAACTAAGTTACTTATTTTTAAAAAATGTATGCTGACTTCCCTAAAATGCTCTCTCAAATCATTTGCATTGAAACTACCACTTGATGCAAACTTTGTTAACACATGCAATTAATAGGAATATATTAATAAAATATTGATAAATATGGGGGCATTAATATCTTATATTTAGGACCAAACCAAACATTTAACCAACTCTTATATACTCCTTCGGTTCTTAATATAAGAGTTAATTAAAGAGTTGATATTAGTCCTATATATAAAACCCATTTCACATGTTTATCAAAAAAATTTCAAGTTAACCTTAGTGATATTTCTCAAACAATAATCAAGTGGGAGAGGAAATGAGGAAATTAAGAAAAATGCTTAGGTGTTTTAGAAAAAACATATCATATTAACTAATTTAATTAACATTCTTAACCTATTCAAATTAAGTAATTAAATCTAAAAAAAATTACTACCCAGTCCTAAATATAAGACCTATTTTGTAGTGTAATTTACATTACAAAATCGATTTTATATTTAAGACCGGAAGAATAGCACATATCACGGACCGGGTGTAGTATTTTGAAATGAGCAAGATGACATACCGAAGATTCAGGCCAATGAAAATACTGTATCCTTTACCCAAAACCATTCCTCAGTTTCCCCGTTTTGCAGGTTTAATTTCTGTCTTCTTTCTTCTGTTCAAAATAAATATAAATACATATAGTCAAGTCAATGATCAACGTTGAGGTGTGATTATGAGATTATTAATTACTTGCCTAATTAACTGGCTGGATCATCAACTTGCATATCATTTTTTAATGACCAAAATATAAAAAATCTCCCCAAACTTTATGCCACTTCTATGCATAATCTTCCCTCACTTTTAAAAATTTAAATTAAGAATCCTAATGTTTCATATTTTGATTATCAAACCCATTTTATTAAAATAACAGTTTTTGCCATGTCAAAAATTTAATATTTTTTATTATATATCACATCATTTAAAAAATAACACTTAGCATTTGACCTATACTTTTAAGTGTTTTTTCAATACTTAAAATAAAATACTTAAATACTAAGAAAATATAAAATATTTAAGTACTTAAAAAATATTTGAAATATTTATTTGACTAAGTCATTTTTAAATAAAAAAGTATAAATTATTTAAAATTACTGGTCAAATGTCAAGTGTTATGTTTTAAATGACATGACATATAATAGAAAAAATATAAAACTTTGATAAGGTAGATACTGTTAACTTTAACGGTAATTTTAACAGTAATGAGGTTAATAATCAAAATAAAAAAGATTCAAATTTTTAATTTAAATTTTTAAAAATCAGAAAAGTTATACAAAATTGACTCAAAATGTAAGAGTGTTTTGCGTATTTGAACCATTTTTAATTATTGTACAAAGTCATCATCGAAATTGATCCAACCTAGCTAGGAAAAAAAATAAAGAGTGTTCCAGCCCGTTACGTCTCTGCTAAAGCTAGATTAGCACAATTCCCTAACTAGTGAAATATTCTAAATCATAATTAAGAAACCTAATACTTTACCACATCTTGCATAATTTGTATATTAGTATATAAATATAAATGTACTTATATAGGAGGAAAGAGAGTATTTTATATATTATATAATTTTCAACCTCAACACCCTCGTAATTAAACCTTATTAACTCCATACATCCTAGATATTTTGCTTCTTATCTCTCATATGACAAAAGGAATTTACGCATCCATTATGCTCATGGAAGTCAAATTCACAACCTCGTACTTCAGTACTCATAGAGAAATTTTTTTGGTCATTTTTCACCAATAGAAAGAACCCAAGTGCCCATTATATCTACGAAGATTGAACTCGCAACCTTAAATAACACTTAAAGAGATATTTAACATTAATTGGGCAGATGTATGTTCAGAAATCAGAATATGAGTTTGGGAAAACCAAACAAATTAAAGTTATGGTTAGCTTAACTGGAACCTAAATTTAGGCCCTGTAAACAGCAACCTGATCCAAAACATGAATATAATAGAAGGTAAAGCGATGAATAACGAGTGGATTAAAGACAAAATGGCTAGAGGAGATCAAATTGCATTTCTTTTCAGAGCGAGAAATAAAAATCTTGGAACTCTTCCTTTTGTCTGGGTGTCTCTGTACCTTCGTAACGCATTTCTTCTCCAACAAACCAATTCCCAACCTCATCCGATTATTAAAAAGTTAATCCTTTTTGCATCATCGATATCAAACCTTTTCCAGATATTCCCAGGCAAGTAATGTCCCATAGATTCATTGTTTGCTCCCCTATCCCCTTAATGACAATTCCCTCCTTTCTACGCAATATATTTTAAGATTAATGACAACATTGTTTTACATGTGCTCCAATGTGCTTGTGTTTGAAAATGTGTTGAATTTGGCCAAAACCATGTTTTAACCATAATAGCGTGAGAATAGTTTTGTCTCGTAATAAGTTGTTAAATTGATTTGGCAACGTGGCATCAAACAAGTTAAAAAGCCTTGTACTATGATTTGTAGATCGTCTTATTAAAATTTTCGAAAAACCAGACGGGTTAAAACCATTAGGGGAAAAAAAGCCTAAATGAAACCATCAGCAATCATCAAATGATCTTTACTATCAGTCTAGATGGCATCTATATATGAAGTAAGCCTGATTAATTAAATAACCATTTTTTCTTTTGGGCCAAAACCTGATGATCGAACTACCTGATTAACGTGCCTTTTTGTTAAATCTTTCTAAAAACATGATGTGAGGTAATAATCTAATCACTTATAGCTAAACATTACTTGGTGCAAAGTGAATCTAACCACTTGACAAAGTCCATATTAGGAGCTGTGAAAAAAAGTTACGCATGTAATACTTCATATAAGTGCATGTGTAATTTTCGTCACACCATGTAACAGCTATTATTATGCCTAGCTACAGGTTAGCTAGCCTCTCCATGACCTAAAACTTTATATATATTCTCGAATTTTTTTAAATAATATGGTAAGAGTTAAAGGGCATGTAGTCTAATGGTATTGACATTTTCTTATAAGTAAAAAGTCATGGATTCAATCCTGTTTATAACTTCAAATAGTTAGTGTTTATCCTTTCAGTTAAAAAAAAAAACAATATGAAAAGAAAGTTATCAATAAAAACCAAAAAAATGCAAAGAAAGAGTAAAAGACTACCGAATCTTTCATCAGCAATGGTGAGTTTCAAAAAAGACTCGCAAATGAACAAGAAAAATCCGTTAGGCTCGTCAATCAATATTCTATCCCGCTTGTATCTGACTAGCCCAGCATCTTACAATGAAGAACGCCTTATAACGTGTATTATACAAACATCTGTACGAACACGCATAGGGGTGGTAACATGTCAGATCATGTTAGGTTGTGTTTAACAGGCCACTCTTGTTTACTAACAAGCTGGTCTAAGCTTAGTTTGTGACCTGTTATAGATTTTTTTTTTTTTGAAACGGAGCTTGATCTGTATAAACTATAAAGGCTTGGCTTAGCCTAAGCCTATTTAAAAAACTTGTAATTTTAAAATTTTCAATTTCAAATGCAGAAAAAAAATACATAGACTAATAAAAAAGGTCAAATATACATACTACATACTAATTATTTTTATTATTATTTTGATTTAATTTTAATATCATAAATAATATTTTAAATCTTAATTACGGTTAATATTATTGAAAACAGATTATAAGTATATACTAAAATTTGAAATAAAACTAGATATAAGTATAAAATAAAAATTAAAATTAAAATAAATAAACTGGCAAGCCTAACAAGCTTAATAGGATTTTGAAATGACTAGACCTGACTTATTAGGCTAAACAAGCCATCAAAAAATCTAAGCCTTTTTCTCTTTTGAAACAGTCAGGTTATGGCCTCTGATAGGCCGCTTGACCTGTTCCGTCCTTAGCCATACAGTCTGATTTTAAATATAAAAATTAGTTTGTGGTGCAAATATCACACATAACCCTAGGTCCTCACTCTATCAGATACGCTTCTTGTTAGTCTCATCTCTTGTGCTATTTGAGGTCTGCTATTGCTAATTTCCAATAATTACATGGAGACGACCACTCTGTTGTACAAGCAAATTAATTATCTTTCTGTACTTCTGTTGTTATTAAGAGATCAGAATATTCTGTATATGTGAAAAATTAAATAAGTAGAATTACTTTAACATAACAGTGCGAGGATGGGAGGACAAAGAAATTTGATGAGTTGAAAATAAAGTGAGGGATAACCCTTTAAAAAAAAAAAAAAATGAGGCGCTGTACATTCTGAACAATCCATGTGTCGTTGTATTTCCCGGTAAAATTAAAGAGAAATATCCAAGAAATAGAACATGAAAGAAAAGTCTTTGTAGTTTGACGAAAAGCCTTTAAAACAGTGGCAGGAGTTTGAGAGGAAGAAGAGTGGTAATTAAATCGGTACCTAAAGGCATGGTGGTTCATGTGGCAAACACAGATTGCATTGAATGGCAGAGGGTGGAATTATTATATTGACCCATTTAATAATCTTGAATTTACGTAACCGTTGATATTAATGAGGTAGGCTTTTGTTTTTGCCCTGCGTCGATGAATTGCAGGTCAAGAAAATCAGTAGGAATGAAAAACGGTGGCCTATATATAATTTCAAATTGGCAAGAAAGTGACTAATTCCGTGGGATTTGGCTAACTTTATTAATATGTTAATTTGCTTTATTGCTTTTATCACTTTCTAAGATTCGTGGGTCATGTAAAAACATTTAGCCAACCCATAATAGTGTCCTTCTCCAGAGAGAGAGAGGGAGAGAGGAGGTTCAACCACCAACTACTTTTTTTTTATTGGCCAACAAATGTTAAATACATGTGTTTGTGTTATGCGTGGTGTTGCGGTGGTGTATTTGGGTTTTGGCTTTTGCCTCTAAGTTTTAAGAAAGGCATTTCCACACGCTTTGATCAGAAACCTCGAAACACGGGCATGGGTAGTGTACGAGTGTAAGAGACGAAGAAGCCCTCCTCTATCTCTTCCCTTCATTAAGCTTTCTGGAACAAACAGAACGGTACTAAGCACCCTCCACACCCACACACACAGTACACACTGTTAGAATTATATGAGAAAATGGGGGACACGGCGAGGAGGATTGTAGCATCAAGTGGGAGAGTGATAAACAAAGGAGTGAGCTGGTTTGTGTTTTGTATTCTTGATCTTCTAGATATTGTACTTTGTGTGGTGTTTAAGGTGGTGGATTTGGTGGTGGAGGGAGAATGGAAGCCTTGTTATTGCTCGTCGGGATCTGCGAAGGAAGCCATCAGAAGCGGAGGAGGTAATATCTTGGTGTCGGAGCACGGCGGCGAGTCGAAGATCCTGTCTCTGACGACCTCCTCGAAGATATTGCAGCTTGAGGATATCTCCGACACCCTCTTCTCTCGTCCTTCCTTGGTGTCTCAGTTGAAACGCCTCCACATTGATTCCTCTCATAAGAACAGCAATACATCGTTCACCGTCAACTCCACCATCGTCGAGATGCTCGGAAGAAGACAGCACGGCCAACACCCCGCCACCGCCAGATGGTCCGACTGTGATTGCACGCTATGCACAGGTTGGATCTCTCCTTCTTCCAAAGGCAAACTCTTCGTCAGAACTCAAGGACCCATCATGACCACAGGTTCAAAACATAAATATCAAATATTTTTCTATTTACTGATTAGAGTAGTCGGAGTTGACTGATAAGTGTGTATGTGTGAATGATCAGGGGGGATGAGAAGAGGAGAAGATGTGTTGTTTATACATGGATTTATATCGTCGTCGTTGTTCTGGGCGGAGACATTGTTTCCGAACTTCTCCGGCAAGGTGAAGTCGAGTTATAGGTTGTTTGCGGTTGATCTGCTTGGGTTTGGAAGAAGTCCGAAGCCAAGTGAGTCGCTATACACACTGAGAGAGCATTTAGAGATGATTGAGACGTCGGTGTTAGAGCCTTACAAGCTTCAATCGTTCCACATTGTGGCTCATTCTCTGGGATGCATCCTCGCGCTGGCCCTCGCCGTTAAATACCCTCGTTCCGTCAAGTCCCTCACCCTCCTTGCCCCTGTATCTCTCTCTCTCTCTTACTTTTTTCCGTTCATTTAATACATCTTTGTTTGTTTCTCTCTCATGTTTCATTAATTAAATCTGTGATGTTTCAGCCATTTTATCCGGTGCCGAAGGCGTCGGCGGCGCAGGCGACGCAGTATGTAATGAGCAGAGTGGCGCCGCGGCGCGTGTGGCCGCCGATCGCGTTCGGGGCGTCCATGGCGTGCTGGTACGAGCACATTACGCGATTGATTTGCTTCGTCATCTGCAAGAACCACCGCCTGTGGGAATTTCTCACCAAACTCATCACCCGAAACAGGTCATCTACTATAAACTGTCACTTTTCCGCCTTTCTGCTTACGCGCATTTTGGTTCTTTTTTTTTTTTTTTTCCCCCCCCCTAGTCCTCGTATCACTTCAATTTGACCATCTCTACCAACGATGCTAAATATGTTTCAGAAATTATCTAGGCGATCCAACGGCCACAAATTTATAAACAATTGAACTACACTGATTTTGATTCTTTTCGCTACATATCCTCTCAGAGGTAACATCTTACAATAATTCGAAAAAGAAAATTGATGAGAAGTTTCTATTTAAAAATTTCATTCGCTAGACTCACTCATCTTTTTTTTTTGGCTTAATATGAATTTTGATCATTTAAGTTTGTTCTTATTTTGGATTTGTTTTCTCAAGTTTCAAACTATAAGTTTTGATGCCTCAAGTTTCTTTTTATCTAGGATATTGGTTCCTATAATTTAATAAAAACTCACATCATTTTGTTTCTTGAGAGACAAAAACTTATGATTTAAAATTTGAGAGGCCAAAAACAAAATAAAGACAAATTTAAAAGATCAAAGATTATATTAACTTTTTCTTTGCCAACCATTCGCTAGACTTATAATGTTTTTATACAAGAAAGTATTAGTATTGTATAGGATTTCAAATACAGAAAGTACCGGTACTTGAATTCATGTCATTTCGGCCACTAAAATTTTCAAACAAGTAGTTTTTTCAACAACAAAAAAAAAAAGAAATTGACACATATATAGAAAAGATGTGCCTAAACTTAGAGCCAAGATTAAAAGTACACATTACCCTTCCTATATTTCTATTGTCTTATCTCATATGTGGTCTTAAAATTTTATAGATGAGAACTAATTAATCCCCAATGAGAAGCCAAGCAAATTATGCATGTCAAAGAACTAAAAAGATTGATGCAAAAATCTCACACCACACACACACACACACACAATTTGGATTAAATTTGGGTGGTGAAGTGTGTGTGGATATAGGAGGGGAATAGTGTAGGAATTAAATAGAGGAGAGTTAATACAAGCATGAGGGCCACACTGTCTTATCATGGAGAAGGATGGGAATTAAGGTGGAGACAGAGATGGGGTACCATGGGAAGTGCAAGTCAAAAAAGAATAGAAAAAGGTGGCAATTTTGATCTTGACAATAGCATAGGTGGCATTTAATTGGCCTGATTATGATTATTACTATTATGAGACTGATTCTGACACCGCGTTTTGGGTGGTTTGATTTATAATTCATGAATCGTAACCACAGGTTAAGGACATTCTTAATGGAAGGTTTCTTCTGTCACACTCACAACGCAGCCTGGCACACCCTTCACAACATCATATGTGGCACCGCCGGCAAGATGGAAGCCTATTTGGACGCCGTGAGGGACAACCTTAACTGTAAAGTCACCGTCTTTCACGGCAAAGACGACGAGCTCATCCCTCCCGAATGTAGCCACGAGCTCCAGACAAGAATCCCTCGTGCCAACGTTAATGTCATCGATAACAAGGACCACATTACCATCGTTGTTGGTCGACAGCAAGTTTTCGCTCAAGAACTCGAGCAAATCTGGACCACCACTTGATCGTCGTCATCATTAAACTCACCAAACCTAGCTATCTCCATCTCCAATTGTGGCAATATATCACTACGCATCTCTTTCTTTCTTTCTTTTTCCTGTTCATTTTTCTTGTTCTCTATATTGTTCTCTTACAGCTAAGCTAGCGTCTGAGTGATCTCCAAGATGTGATGGGTGCCAGCTACTGCAATATATAATAGGCTTGCAACCAATTAAAGAAGGAAACAATAATGAATGAATATGCGTTGGAAATATATCTATCTATTTTGTTTTGAGTAGCTCTACCTTTATTTAACTGCTTTATCACATGGAAATCCAAAAATGGATGCGACCATATCACACGTTGGTAGGTCGAATGAGTATTTATTAGCGCCCATTTTGTGTTTGTTGAAAGTCATGGCCATAACATTTATTCATGTACACGCCTCCACACCAACCCAGTATTAAAAATTGAGCGTTATGGTTCAGACACATCAAAGAACTACTATATATGTACCTGATTGTGTCAATGTCAATCTGTACACTCTTGTCATTCATAGATTCAAACCCTGTTCACCAACATCCAGCGACCATTTCTGTTTCATAAATCATATGTAACTGAATGCTGCGAGGTCATTTAATTGTATCAGCAACCACCTGCAGGTTTACAATTTACTTTAGTTTACTGTTATATGTAGTTGTAACTTACTGCATTATTGTTACTTGTGATTCTGATGATGCTACTTTATTATCCATTGAAACTTTTTTTCCTTCCCCTTAAGGTTAAGGGTTCTGGTTTATGGTTTTAATTATGGGCCTGTACGCTGTACAGTACTTTGAAGTCAGGTTGGTCGTTGGCGTGTGTGGTTTGGGTCAAATTTTGTCAGATTCTAGTCACCCACGTTGGACAATTTCCAATCCGGAGGCTAATAAAAATCGTTAGGTAACCTTACACAGAAGACATGCAGCATTCAACACGTGGCACACCTTATTGTGGTTTTTGTACTATTTTACATCAATCTCGTCATTGTCCCTACGTCCGGTAGTTAAAAGTCTAACATATTTAAATCAGATCCTAATGCTCGTACATAATACATTAATAATCATCTCTAATCAGTACTTTTACAGGTATGTTTTTATTAATACGCCTGAAAATTAGAATGCTGCCGCCATATATATATATATATATATATATATATATATGTATGTATGTATGTATGCTCTTTTTCAACCTCCATATTTTCAAATCAGCCCACTAGTTTGTTAATAACTTGACATCTACATGAACTATTTCTGCTGCGATTGTAAATAATGCTGTGTTTTTTCAAGAACAGAACAGAGCAGAGATAGAAATAGGCAAGCAATGAAATGAAGAGGGGTTTAAACAACTTTTTGTTCGTACCATTAAGATTACAAGACGATTAGTCTTGAAAAGTAAATGTAGGTAGAGGGACCTGAAAGAAGAAGAGGAAGAAGAGAAGAGGGGATTTAATTGTTGGTGGGGAGGGGATGTTGGTGAAGAAAGGAGATAGGGTTTTGGAGAAGATGAGACCACTTTAAATTCAAACCTACCTAGCTCCCCTTCCAATTGGGGCAATGTGTCACACACGTTTTGGTTCGAATGAATATTTATTAGTGCCCACTTTGTGATTGCCCCAAGTTATGGCCATTCCTACCATTTACTCATCTTCTTGTCTTCTTGCCTACGCCTAACCATTTATTAATGGTTTTGTTTTTGTTTTTCCATAAAAGAAAAAGAACAAATGGTTGGCATCACGAAGCTCTCGGGCTGCATCTGGCTCATTCCTTGCTCCAACCCATCTTATTAATCCATTCACCCATAACGGTCATGTGTATTTATTGTAATTTTTGCTCTTGCTAATGTTCCTACTTCCTAGTGCCTCCCCAAATATGATAGATAATTTTGTTAGTACATGTTCTAAATATAATACGCATTTCATGATTATACAATCTTCCATACTTAATATAAGAGCTACATAATTAATTTTAAAAAAATTAGTTAAGTTAGTTAATTGTAACAAGTATATATTGATTTTTCTAAATTACCCTGTTTGATCATGCATATTAGAACTACCCGTTGATGAATTCCCTTACAATCGATAAAGATATTTTGAAAAAAAAAAATTTGAAAGACAAAATACATTGAGATCTTATATTTAGAACCAAATTTAACTCCCAACTATTTTTTACATTCAAGGCTAGAAGTAGTATAAATTTTTTAAAAAAATTCTTTTAGAAAGAAAAATAATGTGTACTCTTACACAAACAATCACTAAAAATCTCATAACAAGTATTAAAATGCTTCTATTATCTTATGCTATTTCAGAATTTATCTTCTTATAAAATTTTTTAGTGATTAAATCCATTATAGGGGATTGTGCCATAATATTCCCTTGTAAAAAATATTTTTTTAAGTACAGCTATCTTCTTTTTAGAAGCAATTATGTTCGAGATATTATCGAACATTAAATATGAGCACATCTCTTAATAAGGATTCGAACATTAATTCACCATATCATGAAAGACTAACTCATTTCGCTAGACCTAACCTGTTAGTAAAAACACATCATTTTCTAATGGTTTGCTCCCCAACCTTAATAAAAGATATTTACAAAAGATACTTATTTCATTAGAAATAGATAGATTAGAAAACAAATCAGACAAAAATAAATTCCTTAATCTATGTATAAGTATAATTATCTACTATATTTAGGGATGATTCTCACATTTGTATCCATTGTAGAATTTTTGTTTTGGCATTTTTGTTTTCTTTTAGATTTTATTATCGATATATATAATTAAAAAAAATTAAAAGTTTCACAATTGAGGACAGATCTAAGCATGCATGCATTATGTTGGATATCGAGCCAATATTGTCGAACACGAGAGAAATTGAGCGTGGATGTGTAGGTTATAATAGAATAATTCACATAACTTCTGTAAAAAATAAAATTTGCTAAATTATACTTAAAATGTTTATTGTTGCAAAAATAACATTCCTGCCTTTATAATAGTCAATATACCTTATAAAATATAACTTTGAATTTAATTTTTATCGTTTGGCAAAAAAAGTAATTTTTATCAATAAAATTAAATTTTCAAAAAACATATTACTATAATGTTTCAATATGATTATTAGGCAACAAAGTAACTGAGTAGGTTATTTATACTCCTCCGATCTTTAATATAAGACCCATTTAACTAATTTGATTATATTAAAGAAGTTAGGTAAATTAGTTAATTATAAGCAAAGTGATACATTTTTTCTAAAACACCATAATCATCTTCTTTAATACCCCTTTATCTCTTCCACTTGATTATAGTTGAGAGAGTATCTATAGGGGTACTTTAAAAAAAAATAATAAATATGATAAATGAATCTTATATTTAGGATCAAAACTAACTCAAAAATTGAGACTTATATTAGGACTGTTCATCAAGCCCGCTAGCCCGGTATGTCCGCCCGAGCCCGCAAGAAAATGGCCCTGCCCAGCCCGGAAAAAAAATAGCCCAAAGAAAAATGGGCATTTTGGGCTGGGCATATTATGGGCAGGGCAGGGCTGCGGGCATGGTATGCTGCCCTGCCCATTTGGCCCTGCCCGTGATATATATATATATTTATAATTCTTTTTTTTTGCCAAAAATACTTATAATAATATATAATATATAATATATATTATTCTCCCCTCTTTTATTTGCCATAAATACATTTAGTGGTATGCGTAATTCTTCCTTCTTAGTATCTTTTTAATTTTTTTTACTTTGGTTTAGTATCTTTTAGTTTGTTTTTATTGTTGGTTGTCTTGCAAAGATGCAAAAGCAAGCTCACTTTAGTGTTATATTAAAAGATATATCAATTTAAGACAAAGCAAAGTTATTGATTTGTTGAATTTATTGTTTATTCAAGTATTTATTTCTTTATAATTGTTATAAGATACCTTTACTTTAACTAAAAAAATTTTCACCAAGGTATCACTATTTGGGCTTGGAAGCCCACCCTGCCCAGCCCGTTATTGCCCAACCCGAAAATGGTTAGGGTTTCTATGGGCAGGGCAGGGCAGCGGGCCGCAAAATGCAGCCCGCTCATTTTTCGGGCTGGGCATCGGGCAGGGGGCATGCCCTGCCCAGCCCTGCCCATGAACACCCCTAACTTATATTAAGGATCGGAGGAGTACTGTAAAAGAATCAGGCAAATTGATAAAACGCAGAGTTTTATTGCGTTTAGACGCTTTTGCCTCAGAATTATCGGATCCCTCTGGCGTTCGGTTTCTGCTCCAGCCTCCAGACCTTACCTTCAGTTCATCACCATCCAGCCTCTGCCTTAGACATCGCCGCCAGTGCTCGCCGTCGTCCCGTGCTTCTCCGGCCCTTCAGGTTTGCCGTCGTTCCTTTCTTTGTCCATATTTTTTTTCCGCTGCTGTTCTGTATCTATTTGGCTCTCTCTGATTGTACGTCACCAAAATAAAATCCCATCTGTTTTTAATCCGAATTTGAATCTGAAAGCTACGTACTTCTCTACGTGGAAGTTGATATTCTCTATGTGCTTATGAGCTTATGAGCTTTGGTGGTTCTTCTCAGTTTACTGATTGATTTTTTTTTTTCCAGTCCTTCTTGTTTTTTGGTAGCTTCTCACTTTGCTTGCTTTAGTTGCTTATACACGGCCATCATCATTTTTTGAAATTTCCGTTCGGCTTGAATCACCGTATAATGTGGGCTGCCTGGCAATTTGTTACATCCGACCTGTTGTGTAGTGCCTTTTTCTTTTTTTCTTTCTTTTTCGTGTGGTTTGGTAACTTCATTGAAAGGGGAAACCCCTTGAATTTTCCGGATTTCATGTTGTAATCGTTTTCACTCTGTTCGTCCTCAAAAACGCATGATTTGAGGCTGGTATGGTATGTTTTATCCTTATCAGTAAATTTAGCTCAGAACCCAAGAATGCCACTTTTTGAATGTGAATATATTTATGATAGATTGATCGTTCAATTTAGTAAAATTTCTAGCATGTTGCTCTTACCGATTGACTATTTAGTGTGTGTTTTGTGTGTGTGTGTGTGTGTGTGTGTGTGTGTTTTAATTGTGCGCCAAAATTCATCATATAAACTTTCAATCCCTTTGGAAATGCTAAACTTTATCTGTAGTCATCCAATGGTGTTCAATGTTTGAATCTTTATTTTCGATAGCTGAACTCATGATTTTTAGAGATAATCATTTTTATATCTTGATATCTTGTGGATTTGATAATGCATGCTGGCTTTGTATGAAATTGGGTTTTTCTCTTTGAAGACATTGTTCAGATGATATGTCACGGCTTGATTTGTTTGTATTAAAATTTAGTCTGAAGCTGTTTTACTACTCACAATGTTTGTACTGAATCCTTATGTTTGTTGGTGTTGGTTCCAGAAAATTCAATCAATTTTTAGATTTGGCCTCTGGAGTTAAATCATAAACGTCTGTAATTGTGTCCTTATAGTTTGGAACTTTTAATTCTAAATAGATCCCTGTTATTCACATTTCCTATCTTGGCATTCTCTTTTGCTTGTCCTCAAGTATCTCCGTTTCCTTTGGGTGTGGGACTGGTCTTGCTTAAGGTATTAAGGTCCTGTTTGGTACTAAACATTAAAAATGAGGGATAGGACTAGGATTGCAATTGAAAAAAAATTATTAAAAAAGTTTTTAATATGAATAATTGCTTGTTATATGGGATTAGACAAACCCATGGAAATAAGATTGGGAAATACCACTTCCTCTCATGGTATTCCTCAATCTCACATACACGAGCTTGTCTAATTCCATGTAACAAGCAATTTCTCATGCTAAACACTATTTTCTCAATCTTAATCCCAATCCTTATCCATCATTTTCAATACTTCATACCAAACGGTAGCAAAAGGTGACCCTCCCTAAAATTGTTTATTATGTGGGATCTAGCCCCAATCATTGCAAAGACCTCTCAAATGTTGCGCTCAAGCTTGCTTGCCATTCAAACCACTCTTTGTGGGACTATCTGGAGATTCTAAATATGCATGATCCTATGCCAAGTCTCCTACTCACACGTCCACGCCCTTGTGGATTTAAGTATAGTCAGTCCCATTAGATAAAGTATACTAGTCTCAATTCTACTTGAACTATAGTTCAGAAGAATACGTGTCTCAATTCTGCTATTAGTTTGCTTTACTATGAATACTGTAAAAAATGGCATGGGGTTGGTGTCATCCACAAAATTTGATGACACACTAACAAAAATTTACAGACAGAGACCACTGAAAATTTTTAAAGCTGTTTAAACTCAAGCTATTAACCTGTATACATGGACCATATTGAGAATTGGATGAAACTTAATGGATCAACAAAGTAGTTTAAGCCCAAAATAAATGAAGCCTTGGATGATCATAAAGAGAGGTCTTTGATTCTATTTTTGGACAGAATAGGCCAATAAAGAATGGGTGACAAGAAGAAGAAGGCTCAAATGTTTGTTCGGCTTGTCTCAGCTGCTGGGACTGGATTCTTCTATGTCAAGAGGAAACCTAGGACGTTCACAGAGAAGCTTGAGTTTCGGAAGTTTGACCCTAGGGTTAATCGTCATGTTCTGTTTACAGAAGCAAAAATGAAGTGACAAAGATACCTAGCAAATTGCTGCTGCATTTTGTGGACTTTTTGCAGTTTATATTAGATATGTAATCTTATAAACTTTTCTACCATTCCGCCTCATTTCCTTTGAATTCAGATTGACTTTGAGTCCTTGTTATTGCTTAATGCTAAGGGGTTTCCAGTTTCCACTTCTTGCTGCTTGTGCTTAAATTTAGATCTTTTTAGACTTGAGGGAACTTGTACGTTGAGTTCCTTAATAATTATGTATTATCATCAAAATGTAACTCCTTTATGTACAGTTTCCCCTTATTAACTATTTCTTCTGGGAACCACTGAATATATATCCAAAAAATTTTGTGGCGCTAGCGCATGCCTACTTTGTGATGCTGCTTTCTTTTCTGCCATTATAACTAGTATAATATGCTCTGGTGTTTAAACAAGAAGCAAACGCCAGATCCATTCAGATTAACTGGGCTTCTTTTAACATATTGATCTCCTTGACATTGTTCCTCTTTCCTATCATTTCCATGTCATGATTTCAATTTTGGGTCTGTAGTCACGTTAGCGTTTTGCGTTGGTGATGTGTTGGGATTGGCGTGTTGTGGCTTGGCTTAAATTTTGTCAGATCCTCGTTACCCACTTTGGAGAATTTCCGTGTGGATATAAATTTGGAGGTGTAAACCTAGCTTTGCAAGTCTAATATCCATTTTGAATGCTTAAACCTCAATTTTCTTTAAATACAGAGTAGAGTTGATTTTGTAAATTAAGCTTTTCTAATGTCGTTTAAGAAACAAATAGAAAAACAGGCACCACAACTGGTCAGGTGACCTAACAATGAAGACAGGCTGATGCACCGCTCACCCGTTCGTGACTCGACACGTGACTCGGCATCAAGAGATTTCAATATTCCACATCGATGTGGATGGGATCGTTGCCTCATCTCCAAATGTGTATGATTTGGACAGGACTGGACTTATATTGCAATGCCCATACGCAGTCCATAAGTCAATCATTATATAATTAGGACAAGACTAATTGAGCATATGTCAATTATTTGACATTACGTTAGATTTATACAATTATTCTCTGGGATCTTCATTTTTTTTTAATTAAAAAAGATCAAAACTGAAAACTTATCCTCACCAAAGTATCCCTGTAGTAATTTTAAAAATGGAAAATGTTATCCCCCACTTCTAACCGTGTAAAAAGGCTTGTTTAGAATAACCTATAAACAGTTTTTTAATCATAACTTGAAAAATACGGAATAAGTATGTAAGATAAATTTTATTTCAATTTATGTGAAATGTGTTTACGAGTACTTAAATAAGCAAATCCAATCAATATTGACTACTCATTTTGTTTCAAACCTACTGAGAGGTCATCAATATTTTTAACTTTATCTTTCTTTAAGGACATGAAAATACTAGCAAACCATATTAAACTATTAATTGGATGGGTTCCCGGTTTGAAGGGTTGACATGTTTGTGTGTGCGTGTATTTAATTGTATTATATAAAACAAACCCATATTAGTAATTCTACTATACTCTTACGAGTATATATTTTAGGAGAAAAGATATTAATCACCTTTAAAAATTCGTAAAACGCCTTATATAAACAACTAATTATATTTCAGTCAAGAAAAATAAAAACTCCCATTATATTTGAAACGGAGGTAGCACTAAATTTGACACTAGCGCACCTAAATTCTTTTTTTTTTCGTGATTTTTAAATTAGTTTAAGTTGTAACAAAGTTACAAAAGTTTTTTTATTTTCAATAAAAATTTTAAAACGTAGCAATGTTGTCCCACTCCAATAAAAAATCAACTTTAATTGTTAAAATATTAATATTGATCCGTAACATTTGTAATGCTAAGAGACAATATTATTCTATTTTAACACTTTCAGAATAATCTTGGACTTGAGAAATTTTTTAGGACAACATTATTCTCAAGTGAAAAAGTCCGAGAAAAAATTTGGGCCTTGACTCTTTTAGATTTTTTGTCCCTCTATTATTTCAGAAAAGCTTGCACAGATCTCTCTATCTTTATCCTCGACCCTATGATTGGTTACTAAACTTGGTTCTAGCACTAATGAATTTCCTTCTCGTGACTATAACATCTGTTTCATAATATAATAAATACTCCTCTAATTCTTAATATAAGACATATTTAACTAATTTAATTAGATTAAAAAAGTTAGATAAGTTAGTTAATTATAAAAAATATGACATATTCTTCCTAAAATACCATAATCATTTTTCTTAATATCCTTCCTCCCTCACTTATTTGATTGTGGTTGAGGGAGTATCTATAGGGGTAATTTAGAAAAAACTGATAAATATAAAAAATAGATGTTCTATTTAAGATCAAAATTAACTTAACAATTTGATCATATATTAAGGATAGGAGAAATAGTTTGGAGGTTGCAAGGTCACGAAGAAAGTTTGGGGGTTGAGTTTGTTTATAAAGATAATATTTTAATTCATTTTGTCTCTCATTCTTATTATTTTATTTTTCAAAATATCTCTACTAATTGGAGTTTGCATCAAAGGATAACTTCAATGCAGAAAATTGAAAAGAATATTTTAAGGAAACAAATACGTGTTCTTGATAAATAACTAATTTAATTAGTTTTTTTAATTTATCCAAGTTAGTTAAATAGCTCTTCAATTCAAAATAATATTAAATTTATGTCGTAAACACTTGTGTAAAATATATACACACACACCAATGATGGTTGGGTTTAGCAAAATAGGCTAATCCCGTACAGAGTAACGAAACAAAGTTTAAATACCTATTGAAAAAGATAACAACATTTAATATACCACAGTGCCTCGAATATGATGAGAATACGGGTGTCTACCAATATAATATATATATATATATATATATATATATAGTCATTATTTCTTGATCCAGTCCCTCCGAGTTAGCACAAGAAAATATTTAAATTTGAGTTTTGCGCTAATAATGCCTTTTCAACTTAATGGTATGAAAGCTACTTTAAAAGTAAAAGATTAAAGGTTTAATCTCGTTTTTGTAACATCGTTCGTTGATGCTTGCCCCTCTGGTCCTTAATATAAGATCTTGTTTGACTTTTATTTTGATCCTAAATATAAGATCCCAATCCACTTCGTCTCTCATATTTATGTATTTTTTTTTCAAAATAGTCCTTCTAACAATAGTAGTTCTACCCGATACACTTGATTAGTAAGGATATTTTAGGAAAGACAAAACTTATTTATTACAAATAACTAACTCAACTTATTTTTTTAATCTGTTCAAATTAGTCAACTAACTCTTATAATTAGAACCGGAGGTAGTACAAAAAAAATATATTAGTGTGTTTGAAAACAAAAGGAGGGTGTAACGCCCGAAGGTTTACACAGTACGAAACCAACATAATGTTTAATAAGCAGCATTTAGTTAATTTTTTTCCTTCCAAATCAGTCAAATTAGTCAGCTCGAAATCTCTCCTCTTTTCTTCTCATCTTTTTTTCTTTTTTTTTTTCCCTAACCATTGAACTAACATATTTCAACATGTTAAATTTTATAAACTATTTATTTGAAAAATTTACAAAAAATTTAATACATTTACAAACTATTAGAATTAAATTTTAATAGAGTTGTAATTTATTATTTATTTTTATAATTTAATATTTTAATAATATGTGTTAAAAAGATTTAAATATCAACTATTAAAATATTAATTCTATAGTTAGAAGTAAAAGAAAAAAGAAGAGGATAGGGAGAAAAGAAGAGAGATTTGAGCCACTAAACGAGCAACATTTACAAGGCAACAATTTTATGCGCCGCGGCAATAATCGCATGCACAAGGGACGCAGGAGACGCCACACCAATCCGTCCTCAATAATTTTCATCTACACACTAAAAAAAAAAAAAAAAAAGGGGAAACTTGGCTATTCTAACAGAGTACTCACCGAGATGATGAGTTCTAAATCTGGTTCCATAGTGCATGGGATGGGAGGTATTCCAGTGCCGTTCGGCGTCATATCATCACACGTCACTCAGTTTATTTTATAGCGTATAATATTTTATACCAAACGGGCCTTATCTCCGGGTTATCATACCCTTATTTTATACGTTATACCAAACTGGAGGCCCTGGGTATCGATGAGAAGGAGGAGGAAGAAGAAGAAGGATGATTCAATTCTTGCTCAGGAGGCCATGTTCTTGAAGAAGATACACTGCTTTTTCAAGCTGAGACCATCTCTGCTCCAAAGTCCCCACATATCCAACAGACAACCTCACCAGCCCCGGCGAGATTCCGGCGACGCTCTGTTCCTCAGAACTCAGCTCACTACTCGTACTGCTTCCAGAGCACGACATGAGGGTCTCGTAGTACCCCAAGCTAACGGCAATAAAGCCGAACTGAGCATGGTTCTGCAGGATGTTCATGAAGCGGTTGGCCCTCTCCTCTGTTTCCATGTCCACGCAGAAAAGTCCGCCATAGCCATACTCCTTGTTGGCCATCGACTTCAGAAGATGATGCTGCGGGTGGTCTTCCAATCCTGGGTAGATCACCCTCAGGCCCAGTTTCTTCAGCCTGGTGGCGAAGGCCAGAGCTCTGGCACAGTGTTCCTTCATGCGAAGGCCCAGGTGTGGGATTCTTTCAGAAAGCTCGAACGCCACCTTGGGGTTCATAGTCGGACCCAGAAGCATGAGAGCCCCTTGGTGCAGATCCATCATCGAATTCACAAACCATGCTGGTCCACACACAGCCCCTGCGCCAGTCATCGATAGTAATATAAACTACGTAATATATATATGCACTGTTGCTTCACGAGGACAACAACTGTAAATTTAGAAGTGAAAAAAATGGAGGGTGTGGTAACTGGTAAGAGATCAGGATGGATATAAGGATGAGGGATGAGGGAGACTGGACATACCTGCGATTATGTCGGCCGCACCGCTGATGAACTTGGTGATACTATGAACCACCACGTCGGCCCCAAGACGAGCCGGTGAAAGCACCATGGGGGTGAATGTGTTGTCCACCACCACTTTCACTCCCTTGTCGTGAGCCATCCTACTCAGCTCCGGTATGTTGGCCACCGTCAGAGTGGGATTCGATATGGCCTCGAAGAACAGCGCTTTGGTTTTGCCCTCCACGATGGCATTCTTCACGGCGGACACATCACCGATGTTCACAAATGTGGTGGTGATGTTGCAGGCCCTGGGAAGGAAGTGGGTCAACAGGGCGTGGGTTCCGCCGTACAAGGCCGTGGAAGCCACTATGTGCCCGCCGGAGCTGCAAAGCTGCAGCAGCACCGACGAGATTGCCGACATGCCACTGGCGGTGCAGTAGGCGGCCTCTGTGCCTTCAAGGGCGGCCATCAGACGGCCGAGGTTTAAGACGGTGGGATTAAAGTGACGGCTGTAGATGAAGAAGTCGCGATCAGGGCCGAGCTCGCCGGCGAACATGCGGCGCATGGTCTCCGGCTCCATGACGGTGAAGGTCGCGGAGGCCTCGATGGACATGTTCACTCCGCCATGCTCTCCGAACTCATGGCGAGCTCTTGCTAATGCAGCAGCAGGGTCCCACTCCCAGTCCAACGGCGGCGACGCCGCCACCATGCCGAATTTCTTCTGGAAGATAGCTGGCAGATCATCTGTCTCCTCCACGGCGGCGCTGCTGCCCTTCCATACGGCGCCACCAGCTCCCAAAAAGCCCGGGCTTTTTGTGTCCGCCATGATGTCTACGTACAATTACTTTTAATTTGGATTGGATTTGAGATGAGAGGAATCGGAGGATACGATATGCATATATATTGCGCGCGAAAAGGTCATTATAAGAAATAAAAAGGATTGAAAAAATAAAGCCCAACATTGGTTATACGGTAAAAAAGCACTCAGCACCGATTTTTTTTTAGCTACAATTTTACTCACCATCTTTTCTTTGATGTAATTTTACTCATTTATAACTGTCCTCTAATTTCTGTTAGCACAAACATGTTTTTTTTTGGATAAAATGGCACTCAGCACCCTGATCTTTTTTTAGTGCAATTTTACTCACCTTTTTTTTGGGTATAATTTTACCCATTTGTAACAGTCCTTTAAAGTCTTCTCGAATATGTATTCGAGAAAATCACCAATTCTCTAATATATATTCAAAAAAAACAATTCAGAAAAAAATAATTTTAATGTTGACCACGAGTTGAAAGTTAGCTCAGGGTGACATTGTTACGAAATTTATACTTTCAGGGCGATATTGAGACTCAAAAAACTTCCAGACACCCATAGCTTCTACATGAACACTTCTGGGATAAAAATGCACCTTATCCCAATTGATTGAGGTCTAACTAAAGACTGTAATTGGGATAAGGTGCATTTTTGTCCTAGAAGTATTCATGTAGGAGTTATGGGTATCCGAAAGTTTTTTGGGTCAATTGATTGAGGTCTAGCTAAAGACTGTAATTGGGATAGAGTGCATTTTTACCCGGAAGTGCTCATATAGGAGCTATGGGTGTTCAGAAGTTTTTTGGGTCTCAATATCGTTCTGGAAGTGTAAATTTCGTAACAATATCGCCCTGAGCTAACTTTCAATTCAGTTAACGTTAAAATTACCTTTATCCAAACTGTTTTCATAAATAAATCTTAAGGAACTAGTCTTCTCAAATACATATTTGAAACTGGACTTTTTTTATTAAAAAAAAAACATGTTTATGTTAACAGACGTCGGAGGACCATTGCAAATGGGTAAAATTGCATCCCAAAAAAAAAGATGGTGAGTAAAATTACACTAACAAAAAGATTAGGATGTTGGGTGCTCTTGAAATAAAAGATTGAGGTGCTGGGTGCTTTTTTACACTTGGTTATGTTATGGTATTTCTTGGGTGTATGTATATGGGATAAAATGTTTAAATATTCTGAAAAGTATCCATGAAAAAATCCTCATTATCTAAAAGCTTTTTTTTTGTTCTTATGTATCATAAAAGTTTATTTTTGCAGCAAAAATACCTTAATCATTTTTTGTCATTAAGTTTGACGGTTAAATTTTGTGGTTTGACAAGTATCTTTAATAGTCAAATTTAACAGTAAATAACAGTTCAGGGTAGAAATGCTGCAAAATAAAAATGCCAAGGTATATAAAAGCCAAAAAAATTCAGATACTGGGTATTCCTTCATAGATACTCCCTTTGGTCCTATATATAAGTTTCAAATAACCGAGTCACGTTTAACGAATTAGTAATTAAAATTAGTTTAAAATAATAAATAGATGAGAAATATAATTTTTTTAAAATTTGCCCTTGTTTATCAAAAGAGTAAATGAGAGAGGCAATACTGAGTAAAGAGAATACATGGGGTTAATATTAATAAGAGAGAGGGAGCACTAAATATAATCAACCAAGAGGAAAATAGGAAAAAAAAATAAATATTCAGGCAACCTAAAAGATAAAACTTATATTTTAAACAAGACTCTTTTCCAAAAATAAAACTTATACATAATAACGAAGGAAGTACTACATTAACACCTGATCCCTGTATATATTCAAATTCAAAGTACTAATCATTCATCTAGCAAGTGTATATTTGTCACTTTATGATTGGCCATTAGAGTGTTGGTTTTGTCGCCGCATCGATCCTCGACCAAATAACACCCGCAAATCACGATTTAGTAAAGTGAAGGATGTGAATTAAATCCCATAACATGTTTAATTAGTATGTGGGGAGCCGTTGCTTTCTTATCCTTTCAATTCACCGGCCGCATGCAATCGAATTTAATTTGCCGGCACGTAACAGCCATATTCATTGTCAAAAGCTTCATCACTTCTCTGCTGACTCCCCACGTAACTATCTTCTCATCAATATTTTATCCCATTCACAATCAACTCAGTAACAATCACAAATTGCACGGTCCAAAAATTTCTGGGCCCTAAGGGGATGAATTGAATAAGGAAGTTGCCAAGAACTAGTTGTCCAAATACTGATAATGCCACTCGTCACGTTTGGATGATTTCTTGCATTCGAAAGCGAGCTAGTGAACTAACTCAACATGGCCAAAAACACAAACATATAATAAAAGGGCAAGAAAAAGCAACCACAATGACAATTCAACGTATCATCAGCAATCCCGAGCTCTAATGTATGCTTGATCTCTGCAACCAGATGATAATGGAGCTTGATAATTGAAGACGATGAGTGTCCCCGACATATTCAAACTTGGACGTCTTGATCGGCCTAGCTAACCTAGTGAGGGTTCCCCGTGGGGTTTTGAAAGCCAGCCATTGCATGAGTGAGATGGTGGGTTTGGTGCAACCACATAATTAAGAGGCAATGAAGGAGAATGTGTGAACTTCACTATAATAACGTAAACGAACCCGGCCAAAAAGAAAACTTTAAAAATTGAAAAATTGCGTACAGGGACGTATCCACAAAAAATTGTTGTTAAAACCACATACTAATGTTGTAATGGGTTCTTATTTATAATTTTTTATTTTTAAAGTCTTTTTTTATAATTTTTCTAAAAAAATTAAAACACAACAAAAATTAATAAATAAGAGCACTTCAAGATGACTAAGTGGTTGCTGATGAAATTAAAGATTCATACTTCGCAAAAGCTCCTTCAAATCAGAACAAGAGCATGAGGCTCATCCAGTGGACGATACCTTCTCCAGGTGATTGTTCTTGAAGAAGTTGTGGTCACTTTCCAAGAAAACCCCAAAAAGAAAAAAAAAAAAAGAAAGAAAGAAAACCAGGATTTTTGTCCCGCTGTTGCCATCAATTTTGCTAGCTAGAAACATCATAGCCCTCTTGCACCAAACTTTTACAACTACTTCTAAGAATTTAATTTACTGTTTGTTCGTATGAAAAAATGGAGGAGAATGAAGGGAAGAAAAATTCTAATGAAATCAATTTGAAAACTTAAAAAGAAGTGAGGTTATAAAATTTCAATAAACAGAATATATAAGGTGAAAGAGTAAGAAAAATTAATTAAAAACTTTTAACTTTATTTTTTGAACTCATTAAAAAATTTCTCTTCTTTCCTCCCCTTCAATTTACTCTTATCAAACAGATCCTGAAGAAACAATACTAACATAGGTGCCGTTTCTATTTATGGCCAGAACAGATTTCCAGGTGCCATCTCCAAGAACAAGTGCCTAACCATTAACCATATGAGGGAAGCACAACGTAAGTCGTGTATTTATTCTAGATCGGAAATCATTATGCTTTACTTTGGGAATTTGTAGGCGACATTAATCATTTCAGTAGACCCCAATTTGATATATTTATTATTTAATTTTAATGATTGCTTGCTATATTTTAATAATAATAATGTAATTATATGATTAATTAATTTATATATAAAATATGAACTCTTAGTCCTGGCTGGCGTATAATCCAATTCAGTGCCGTTTATTTATGGTTGCAAATTCCCCTTGGCGGGTCTTTGTCTGGAAAATAACTCCTCACTCCATAGACGGTTTATTGTCCTATTCTGAAAGGTACAAGCACAGCCAAAGTAGTAAAGATGCAAACCACATTTGAAGAACTGACGTGCTAATCGTTAATGCTATACTAAATTATTGATACGACTTGGTTTGGGGAAATTGTACTAAACAACCAAATTTTGAATTAATTATTAAGAAGTTTCTCCAATTTATTATTCATTCATGTAATACAAATTCTCTAGCATTTTCTGTTCCCTGCTGCACCATCCACTTATAATTAATTGGTTCTAAGTCCACACAGGTGAATTTTAACTAATTTATCTTATTCTTAATCCATTCAAATTTATTTAAACTTAATCCTACTCCTACACCATTATTCAAGCATGCCCCTTTAACCTTCTTTAACTCCATTAAGCCTCCTTACACAGTCTCCATCTTATGATGGATCTTCATGACACTACATCCACTTCAAGAAGCCTTCATTCTGCGAATGATTTTGTGGCCTACTGGCATATGTAAATTCTCCTATAAGTAGGAGGCTGTAGGTTGATCCTCTCATCTTTTTTGCTAAACATAGGTATTCTTCTATTAGAGATAATTTTAATTGAGGTATAGTTGATCACTAAATATAGACACATCTTCCAAAAGAAATTTGAATTTTGATTTATCACATTGTGAAGGACTAGTTTTTTTACTAGATCCAACCCTATTAGTAGGTTTATCCCATTTATAACTTTGTTAGCATCCATCCCTCTAATTCCTTAAAAAAAAAAAAACGAAAGAAAAGAAAAGCTTTCACTCTTGATGACTTGAGCCTCCCAATGGATCTTGAGTTTGGGCCTGCTCCCTTGTAATTTGCAAGTGATTTTTGGACTGTTTTGAGCTCTCCTTTATTTTGGGCGACAATCCTCTTTTTTACCCAAAAAACTTGTTATGGGAAGTGGGTTAGGAGAACATTGTATCTAATAATATGGGTTAAACTAACAGGTCTAACTTCACTATAAAAAAAATTGACTTTCAGCGGCGACAAAGAGTCACCACTAAAAAGTCGTTGCCGTAGCGACAGCGGTTGAAAACTTTCAGCGGCGACCTGAAAGCTAGTTACGGCGGCAACAATATGTCGTTGCCACATCACCACTCTCATACCATGTCACCCCTCCCTGCCATGTCATTGCCCAAATATTTTCACGTTAAATATGTCTTCTTCAAGGTTCAAATTTGTAACCACCTCTTTTCATGTCTAATCGTCTTACCGTGGATGTGGATTGAATTTGTTTATTATTATTATAAAATAAAATATATATTATTAGATTAGAAAGTCACCGCTGAAAGTTAGACATTTAGCGGCGACACTAATAGTCACCGCTGAAAGTATGCCTTTCAACAATGAAAAAAAAACCACAAAAAGTGAACTTTCTTTTGTCGCTGCAGAAAGTAGGAAAAAAACCCGCAAAAAGTGGACTTTCAGTAACGACAAAAAAAGTCGCGACAGAAAGTAGACGTTCAACGGCGATTTTTTTTGTCGTCGCCTAAAGTCTATTTTTTTGTAGTGCTTGTAAAAAATGATTAGTTAGGGTTGATTAAAAGCCAACTCAGCAACTCACTAGTAAAAGAGCATTTTTAACCCACATTGTTAGGCCCACAACTCGCTTCAAGTTGGCGCGAGTTAACTTGCATTTATTTTTTAATTATTATAATTATCGTATTATATATTATATTCTATCTAAAAATTTAAAAAGATACCCGTATAATTTATTTGGTGTTTTTAATCAAACATTTTAAGAAAAAACAAAAATCTGTTATAGTTTTTTTGAATATTGTATAAAAAATAGAAAAAATTTAGAAACAAAAAATAAATAATTATTAATAAGTTATTGGGTCAAGATTAGCTAAAAGTCAAATCCAGCTACAAATAAGTTTTTCTAACTTGGCCCATATAGGCCTAATCCATCCCCTATTAACCATCCCTAGATAATATGGACAGGCACCACCTTTGACTTAACTGCCGTATGAGATACTGCCTTGAGCACCGCATTGTACATCGCCTATTCTAATATCAGTCATATTGTTACTTGAGATGACATTATTTATTTGAAAAATATCTTTTAATTTTATCAGGAAAAAAGGTCCTTAATCATTATAGTTTAGGCGTCCAATTTTGTAGTTTCTTAACGTTGCACCCGTCCATCCCTTAAAATTGTTCAGGCCGTTAGAAATTTGCATAAGGGACAAGAACAGAGTTGTTGTTGTTGTTATTTTTTAACGCTTGCCATATGGCTAAGATAGGAAATGGTGTTTCTAGTGATAGACGAATGTGTAATGCGCAAGAACTTGTCCTCGGGAGGGAAATAATAGCGAGAAACGGCTATTAATATGCAAGAGCTTGCTTTTGATTGGCGAGTTTTTTTTCTTTTTTAATTAGCTAGTTGATGAGCTAATAAGCAACCAATACAATGATTAGTAACTGGTTCGAGAGGATGATCAACCATAAATTCTGAACAAAAATGATACTCTTTTGGTCCTAAATATAACATGTTTATACACATTAATATAAGGCTCTTATATTTAGGACCGAGGAGCATATTTGATGTCAGGAAAAAAAAAAAACCTGTTAACTTTAATGAAGCGGCAGAGGCTATGACACACAAGCAATGACATACTTATCGCATAAACGCGTTATGTTCAGACAGGAGACCAAATAAAAAAATAATATAGATAGATACTTTCTCGAATTATTAATATAAAAACTGGTTGTTAACTTGAATAGTTTTTCAGCTCAAAAAAAAAAACTTGAATAGTTTGAAAAAAATAGTTAATTTAATTATTTATAATAAATAAGTGTTATTTTTTTTTAAATACCCTTACTAATTATATGTCATTTAATATAACATTTAAAATGTACATGTACTATAAGTACTACCTTAATAAAAATAAATTAGATTAAAATCTTATATTTAGTATCAAATTAAAAATTCAACTAGCTCTTAATTTAGTATAAGAGTAAATAAAAAGTTTCATGCTTCTTCAATCTTTTCTGTTCAACGAAATTAACGATCTGAAACTCTGTTTCATAATGGATACGTGAAATATTAAAAGGTTATATGCTTTTGTTGGTTCCTATGCTTGTTTACAAGAGTATACAGAGACTTCATGAAAACCGTTTATTAAATGAATATTAAAACAAGGTTTAGTGGCTTTGTAAGTTCCATGATGATATGATCGATATTTATGAATGCCCTATATTTGCGAGCCACTCCTCTGGTTTCAAAATCTGTATATGACCTATTGTTCGTTGTGATCGTCGGATTAGTGCTCTGTTCTTTTAACAACAGAACAGAGATAAATTCAATCCTATGGGAAATCCAACGCGTTGTGTTTCAAATTCTTCCATCGCATCATTTATCTGAATCAATCAAGGGGTTAATAGCCGCATCACAATAAGCAATCAGAGAACTTGACGAGTTTAGAGGCAACGGGTAAACTTGATGAGTTCGCAACTGAAGTTCAGCAGGGGATTAAAATACAGTGATTGTGGAGAAAGAGAACGATGTTTCTACTTACAGAGGTATATGGAGGAGGAGGAGGAGGAAGAAGAAGACGAGTTAATTCTTGATGGGGAGGCCATACTCATGGAGAACAGAGAGAGCCTTTTCAAGCTGAGACCATTTTTGATCCAAAGTCCCGACATATCCCACCGACATCCTTACCAGACCCGGCGAGATTCCGGCGAGGGCTTTTTCCTCCGGGCTCATCTCACTGCTCGTGCTGCTTCCAGAACACGACATTAGTGTTTCGTAGTAGCCCAAGCTAACGGCCATGAACCCGAACTGCGCGTGGTTCTGGAGGATGTTCATGAAGCGGTTGGCCCTCTCCTCTGTTTCCATGTCCACGCAGAGAAGTCCGCCATACCCATACTCCTTGTTGGCCATGGACTTGAGAAGATGATGCTGCGGGTGATCTTCCAATCCTGGGTAGATCACCCTCAGGCCCAGCTTCTTCAGCCTGGTGGCGAAGGCCAGAGCTCTGGCACAGTGTTCCTTCATTCGAAGACCCAAGTGGGGGATTCTCTCAGAGAGCTCAAAAGCCACCTTGGGGTTCATGGTCGGACCCAGAAGCATGAGAGCCCCTTGGTGCAGATCCATCATGGAATTCACCAGCCATGCCGGTCCACATACAGCTCCTGCGCCAATTCCATTCATTTTCATTAGTTATTATTACCATTCATTCATTCCTTCCTCCTCTATTTTAACCCGAAAAAGGAACACTATAACTCCTTGCTCTTACAGGAAGATATACCTTGTCTTACTTCCTTATTCCCCCCTGCTCATACTTTGCTTTTAGCAGAAAATTAGAAGAACAAAAAAGAAAAGAAATGTCTTCCCGACTTATTGGTGAAAATTGGGAAGGATAAGAATTAAAAATGACGGTGAGAATCTGAAATGATTCTGGAAAATTGAATTAATGACTGGAATAAACCGTGCAGGTGAATTGTTGGCCCACAATAAGTGAAAATGGAGGGAGTGGTAATTGGTAACAGGGGGGAAGAGGGATAAGGATGAATTAAGGATACTGGACATACCTGCGATCATGTCGGCCCCACCGCTGATGAACTTGGTGATACTGTGAACCACCACGTCGGCACCAAGACGAGCTGGTGAAAGCACCATGGGGGCGAATGTATTGTCCACCACCACTTTCACCCCCTTCTCGTGAGCCACCCCGCTCAGCTCCGGTATGTTTGCCACCGTCAAGGTTGGATTCGATATGGACTCGAAGTACAACACCTTGGTCTTGCCCTCCACGATGGCATTCTTCACGGCGGAAACATCACCGATGTTCACAAATGTGGTGGTGATGTTGCAGGCCCTGGGGAGGAAGTGGGTCAACAGGGCGTGGGTTCCGCCGTACAGGGCCGTGGAAGCCACTATGTGCCCGCCGGAGCTGCAAAGCTGCAGCAGCACCGACGAGATTGCCGACATGCCACTGGCGGTGCAGTAGGCGGCCTCTGTACCTTCAAGGGCGGCCATCAGACGTCCGAGGTTTAAGACGGTGGGGTTAAAGTGACGGCTGTAGATGAAGAAGTCGCGATCAGGACCGAGCTCTCCGGCGAACATGCGGCGCATGGTCTCCGGTTCCATGACGGTGAAGGTCGCGGAGGCCTCGATGGACATGTTCACGCCACCATGTTCTCCGAATTCATGGCGAGCGCTTGCTAATGCGGCGGCCGGGTCCCCATTCCACTGCGGTGCCGCCCCGGTGTTGGATTTTTTCAGGGAGATCGCAGGTTGAGCATCCTTCTCGTCGACGGCGCCTGTGCCGCGCTTGCTTCCGGTGCCACCAGCCACCAAAAAGCTTGGGCTTCGCGTGTCTGCCATGGATTCCCTGTATTTCAAGTTTAGATTTGAACAGAGAACAAAGGACTACGCATATAAATATACACGCAGTGATCAAATTGGTAAATTAAAGATCAAAATGGTTGAAATATCTGGGAGGAAGGACCAAGATTTCAGGATGATTGAAGATTTTAAAATATGCAAAAAGATTTGAAATATTTTCAAGAATTTTTATCAATGATGGTTGAAACTTGCTACGCATTGATAAACATGAAAACTTCCAGCTAGACTCGGTATTTTAATCAATTTCTGTTAGGGCAGATGATTTTATTTAAAACTCATTTTCATGTATATTTTATCAAAATTAAGAAAAAAATCTTAAATTTTATTAAATTTATCTTATATTTAATAATTTTTAAATTTTATTTCTATTTAATATATAAAATTCTCATAAACAAAATCATAACACAATTAAGAATAAAATTGCATTTAACAGGATAAAAATCTTTTATAAATATAGCAGAAAAAAGTTTTTCTCCCCAACTTATAAATATGCTAAGAGAATTATACATATTGCGCGAAAAGAAAAAAATTATTTGAAAAGGAATTAAAAATAAGGCTCAAAATTGGTCATATTTCGGTTTTCCTTGATATCATTAATTAGAGTTGGGTGCTACTTATGCCAGCTAATTACTTGTCCAACATTAGATAATTGGCCGTGGGCATTAAAGTCTTAATCTTCACGACACATACTCCAACAAATTACAGCCGTACTCTTAATTCAGTACGATTTGTCGTCTATATTCAGTATTCACGTAACAGCCCCTCTAAGCTTCGCAAGTTACCATACGTTTTTCCCTGCCTGGGGTCATTTTCTGAAAAATGTAAAGTGTGATTTATTTTATACATTTTAATTTGAAATTTATTTAAATATTTAAAAATAAAATTATATTATTTTTATTTTTAAGAATTTAGACAAACGAAGAAGGATCTGGAATAAAAGTGACGTGTCATGGGATGTGATTTGATTTTTGATTGGGAATTTATGATGCGCTTCGACCGGGTAGTGCATTTCCTTTTCGAATTAATTAACCAATTAATCTCCCACCATCACGACCTTATGAGACCCCATAATTCTCTCTTATCTTCGTCTCCCGTTTTCTATTTGTACTGATTTTTCTTTAATCTCATCATTAGCTTCCATCTTTTAAGTTTCCCTTTTATTCTGATAAGTATGTCCAAGCACGAGGATAAAAATAATACTGTCAGATCCATGATCTAACCAATGACAGTTAAGGAATTAGAGTATGGATTGTTATGATGACAAATTAATAATTGACATAATTATCACTTCAGATATCATTGTTTATTTGAAAAATGTTCTTTGGTCTTTTTTTTATATATATTTTAAAATGCCCTGTGAATATCTAGGGGAATAGTGAAAAATATTAAAGCATTTCATTTTTGAAATAATAATAGTCCATTTAAATAAAGATATTGAGTATAAATTAAATGGTTTTTTTTTGGGGGGGGATAATTTCACTTCAAGAAAAACATTAAAATAAAAATAATGAAACGAAGAGCCGTCAAATTCATTGAGGATACGTGGCCAATCTGCATGCATGGAATCTAATGCTTCTAGAGCAGGCCACACGACAAACCACCTAATTGTTTTATTTTATTTTATTTTTTATTTTTGTCAATATATGTGGGACCCATTTTCCCAACACAAACCATACAAGCACGTATTTTGCGGGGGGAAAAAAATCACATCAAATGCGTGAACTCAAATTTTTTAATCAAAATTATATTCGCAAAGATAAAGTTTAAACAAGACATCGAGATTTCAAAATATTATCATAAAATTTTTTAAAATCATGTATAAGATATTGCTATTCATATTTCAAACTGACAAAGTTAAATGGATGATGAGAATCATTAACCAATATATTATAAAAACCAAAATATTTTCGTACCATAAAAATAAAATTGACAATAATATAAGAAACTATGGCAAAAAAAAAAAAGACAATAATATAAGAAACATTTTTTATCCTCTAAAATGTTTTATTTTTTATTTTTATAAAAGCTAGAAAATGTAACCCCACCGTGGCTCATATTGATAAGTCATTGGGAAAGAAAGACGCTGAAAGTTAGATGGAGATTAGAGTGCCACGTCGTCTCAAACAGGTTTATCTTTTGGATGCAGGTTCTCATCATCTGCAAAGAAAACACGTGAACAAGTAAAGCTGCATGTCTGCTGTTTGTCGCATGCTAATCTTATACTGTTCTGATTTTTAATATAAAATCTATTTGACTGATTTAATTAAATTAAAAAAATTAGATAAATTAGTTAATCATAAAAAGATGATATGTTTTTTCTAAAACACTATAATCATCTTTTTTAATATTCTCTCTCCCTCTTCTACTTGATTATGATCGAGGAAGTATCCATAGAAATAATTTAAAAAAAAATAATAAATATGAAAAATAAATCTTATATTTAGGATCAAAATCAACTCAATAATTTAGTCTATATTAAAAACGGAGTGCTAGTGACATTCTTAAGTATTACTATAAGGCATAGCTTTACGGGAATTTGAATATTAAATTCCTATGCTGTAAAAAACCTAGCCCTTCCGTTAGATTCTTCGATCATACCCCTGTTGATTATTCCCTTATATTTTTATTACAACACGGTAAAACTGATATGAAGATCCTTAGATCTAATGACATGGCATCCCTTTCTTTGGGAAGAAGATCACAAATTTAAATCTCTGTTTGTATGCCGGATATCGTTGCGTGGTTCATTTGCTGAAGTTTAGAGTTCTAACGTGACACTGCCTTTGGCATTATGTTCTATGTGTGGAATTTCTTGACTGGAAAAAAATGCTCGTGTACCAAAAACCATCGGTAGCGGAAAAAAAATCTTCATTATAACAAGATACTACCTCCGTCCTAATTATAAGACTCAGTTGACTAATTTGAGGAGATTAAGAAGTAAGTTAAGTTAGTTATTTGTAATAAATAAGTGTTGTCATTCCTAAAGTATCCTTGCTAATTAAATGTATTGGATAGAACTATCATTATTACAAGGATTATCTTGAAAAAAAATGCATAAATATGAGAGACAAAATAGATTGAGATTTATAATTAGGACCAAACTAAAAGTCAACGGGGTCTTATATTAAGATCGGAGGTAGTATTAGCTAATAAAAAATTGGTGAAAGGTAATCAATTGATGCTTTTTTTCTGGTAAGCAATTAAATGTTAGTTTTGATATACTCAAACCCGTCAAATATACAAATTCAGGCATGTGATAGGCGACAAGTGTGGTGAGAAAAAATACATTTTTTAAATATCTTGTATTAAAAAAATATTAAAAAAGCTAAAAAAAAATGATAATGTATTAAAATACGTGGGGCTCAGTCGCATGGGGATAAAGATAGAGATTCCAAAACAGCAGGAGCTAGGTCCATTCCTTGGTGGGCCCTCGGCCCTATACCAGTGGGTCCTCCTCCAGTCCTTCTCAATGAACCCACACCGTCCTTCCAGTCTTCAACATTCTCATAACCTAAGCCACACGCGTCAATTGGGGGAAAATTGTAATATTTTAATTTGAACACCTAATATTACAGGTCAAAATCTCCGATGAATCATACTATACTACCTCTAATCTTTAATATAAGACTTTATTTAATTTTTATTTTAATCTTAAATATAAGATCCCAATCCATTTTGTTTCTCATATATATATTTTCAAAGTAGCCCTTCTAATAATAAGAGATCTAGTCAATACACTTGATTAGTAATGATATTTTAGGAAAAACAACTATTTAGGACAAATAACTAACTCAACTGACTTCCTTAATTTCCTCAGATTAGTTAACTGGCTCTTATAATTAGGACCAGAGGTAGTATTTTGTAAATATAATTACGTAAATTATGAACTGAGAATGATAAGTGTTAAACAACTAATGACAATAAATGTATTAGCAATATAAGTTTATAGCTTTTTTTTTTAAAAAAATGATATAAGGGCATTGTAGTCATTCAACTGTATTTACAAAATACTAGATCATATGTCACTTTCTCTCTTGAGATTTTGACCTCTTAGATGTCTGAATTAGGATATTACAGTTTCTAACTTTCTTTTTATATCATTTTCTCTTCATTAAATCCATATTCTCTCAACTAAGTTCACACTTCAATTCTATATATAAAATATACTATCTCTCATTTTTAATATAAAAACTAATTAAGTAATTTAAAAATATTAACAAAATTAATTAAATTAGTTATTTACAATAAACAAGTATTATCTTTTTTAAAATATTTTTGTTAAAATTTTTAATATGTGTAACTATTATAATAATTATCTTACAAAAATAAAACATATAAAAAATAAAGTATATGATGATATTATTTTAAAATCAATTTAAATATCAAATTAGTATTTATACTGAGGAGAGTAATAATTTTTGAAAACGTAAGCGAATAAAAAGATGATGATTTTGGTCAGACCGACACGTGGACCGTGGAATCTCGTGTCCATCTAAGGAATACGTGTAAAGTTATCCATCTAATCCTCATCCAAGAGTGAGGGCCCCCATCTTAAAGTGGGTCCCATTTCTCGTCCTTCCTCGGCGCTTTCTACTTTGTCTTGTCTTTCTTTTCCTTCCGTCTCCCTCAAAACTTCTTATAATCGCAACGTGTGGCTGTGTAAGGGCGCAAAAAAGCCGAATGGGGCCAGGTATGGGACCTAAAACTTAAAATGGACAAAACCAAGGGGCTGAATTCCGAAATTGATATAAACAATTTTTACAGCATATATATATACTCCCTTCGTTTCTCTTTTGTAATTTAATTTGTAAACAAAAAATTAATTAAAATTGATTAAATGTGAAAAAAATATAATTAGAACTCTATATAATTATAATTCTAACCCTAATCCCAACAGTAAAATATAACTTATATAAAAGTTAATAATATAAATTATTGCACTTTTTTTTTTTGGCCAAAGAATTATTACACGTATTTTAACAAACTAGAGCTTATATAAAAGTCGTAACTATTGAAGTTAAATAAATCCCTAAATACTCCTCATGTCTTAAATATAGGGTTCATTTTATAGTGTAAATTACACTACAAAATGAGTCCTATATTTAAGACCGGAGGAATATCAGGAGATCTGGGCAGATCATGATGATTTGTTTAACTTCTGGGTTCCATCTTCATAAAAAAGGGGGGAAAAAAAGTTGACTTCATTAAGCGAAAATATTGACAGCAACAATTTATTTTATTTCTTGACAGACCAACAAAGTCTAAAAAAGAAGGAAAAAACAATGTTTATGTTATTTAAAAAAATATTTAGTTCTTTATAAGCGCATTTGAGGTCAGACTAATCCAACACGCTGACGATTCATCCACCACGCAACGTGAGTTTGAGCAACGGATTTGTGCTAAGATCATCATCTCATTGTGAAAATTTCTAAATATTATAAAGCATTTCTCACCACTCAAATATATTTATAAATTGAACAAAATTTGTATATATTGATACCAGAATTTGTTTTTGTTTTAAAGCACGAGTCAATTACTTATATCAATTTGACCAAGTAATCCTTATCAAATACTTCCTCCTACTCCTCATTATAAGAGCTAGTTGACTAATTTAAAAAGATTAAGGAAGTTTGTCAAGTTAGTTATTTGTAATAAATACCACTTCTGATCTTTAATATAAGAGCTAGTTTAACTTTTAATTTGATCATAAATATAAGATCTTAATCTACTTTGTCTTTCATATTTATCTATTTTTTTAAAGTAACCATTATAGTAGTTGCACACGTTAAAGATTATAATCGAATGGTAGTTTTAACTAATATACATTATTATTAAGAGTATTTTAAAAAGACAATTTATTTATCACAAATAACCAATTTAATTAATTTTTTTAATATTATAAATTAGTCAGTTAAGTCTTATATTAAGGACTGAAGCAATAGGTATTGTTTTTTTTAAAATACGCTTGCTAATTATATATATTAGTTAGAATTACATTTCACATATATAACTACTATAAGAACTATTTTTTAAAAAATAAATATGAAAAAAAATTAGATTCTTATATTTAAAATTGACACTGATTTTTATATTAAGAATTAAAGAGAGCATGTAGTATATCGATTATCATCATCTAGAAATTGGTGCTGCCGTGAAAAATAAGCTGGCCAGCGATATGCGTGATCATTGTAAAATAAACAAATAAGTTATTGAAATGAAAGCAATTTTGTACGCTAGCTATTTTGACTAGTCATCGCAGATTCTGCAATCTCAGGTTAAAATTCATCTAACGGGTATTCTTTGTCATCGACATTGAACTTATTGAAAAAGTTAAACGAAACATCTAATTCATTCGACACCATATGACGTGATTGAAGGTACTTGTATTTAATCATATTATTGTATATTTTGTTTTTTGTTGTTTAGTGTTTCTAGGACTGTTTTGATATTATTGCGTGAAAAATATATCATAAGTTAAATATTATCTCCGTTTCTAATTATAAGAACTAGTTGACTAATTTAAAGAGATTAAAAAAATAAATTAAGTTAGCTATCTGTAACAAATACGTGTTGCCTTTTCTAAAATATTCTTATTAATCAAGTATATTAGTTAGAATTACTATTATTTGGAAGACTACCTTAAAAAAAATATAAATATGAGAGACAAAATGAATTGGGTTCTTACATTTAGGATTAAAATAAAAATCAGACGAGATTTTATATTAAGAATTGAAGGTAGTATATTGTTTCTGCTGATGAAATATTCATACTGCAAAACTACGATTGATGTTTCCCAAATAAAGTTACTAAATAGAACTTTTTTCCCAATTTCTTTGTATGGAAAACTATTAGATAATCTTGTTTTTATTATTATTAGCAGGAGCACCGGATGCATCCGAAGATACATTGCACCTAATTGTGGAGGAGTTGCGTGGGCTAAAAATGATTGGACCCCCTAAATTGACGGTGTTAGATTTAAAAACAAAAAAAAAAAGAATTTAAACGTTGGAAATAATATTTTATTGTTGAAAATTAATTTCTCAATTCAAAATCAATTTTGTCCGTCAAAATCCATATATTTGTCATTTGCTCCCTAACTTAACAGTGCTAACAAAGTTAATGCTATTAAACTCAAATTCAACTTATAAGATTATAAAAAACTAACACCTTGGACGGCAAAGTATAGGAATGAAACACAATAAAAAGAAAGTAGGATGACTAAAATCAAGACTTGTCAAAAGTATAATGATTGGAAGCAGGTTAAATCCTTGATCAGACAAACTTGTTCGTTATACCATTTTTTTCCCCCCTTGAAAAAAATGAGTTACACTATTCAAAGTCTGTGGATAGTTCGTTTTGCGTGTAAGTACTAAAATAAAAAAAAAAGAAATGGGAAAAGTATCAGAAAGTATATAATCAACAGTCACATGGCATTATTTTCTAACTAACTCAAGTGCGAACGCATCCAATAAATTCAAATACTAAATACTGAAATAGATATAATTTTTGTCATGACTTAAAGTAAGCACTTTTTTTCTTGAAAAATCATTATGCAATTTCACATAAATAATTTAATCACTAATAAATCTAATAAGTGAGCAGCACACCCATTGTTATTTCCTTTACCACGACTTTGCTATTATACACTGATAACTTCTTATAAGGCTTTTTAGTGATTAAATTGTTTATAGTTCTCTTTTTTCTTTCCTATAATTTTCTATAAAATAATAAAATTTACACGATCTGCAGCGGCCTGAATACAATGAAACTACCAATTGCTAGTAAATACGAGTTTTTTTGGGACAATTCGTAGTTGTTCAAAATGTGTATTATCCACATGTGAGTGCACATGAATACTCATCAAACGAGCTTTCAGTCAGAACTTGTATGTATGTGTATGTGCTGCTACGTGCAACTACTTTCCTTTCAGTTATAATGCACTTTGGAGTGACGTTTGCAATTGATGTGGTCCCTGTTCTCTCACAACATACCAATACACAGACTCATTCTCGCCCGTATACATAACAAGGCTATTAACTGGCAATTTGCCAAATGCTCTTAAAGTAGCACCAAACACCCTAATGTTATTTTTCAGTTGTATTAAACACCCTGATGTTATTTCTAGATGTTACTGAGAAATTACATTAGTGGTCGATGCTACTTTATCCTTATTAAATTTCAATAAAGGGGAAGATAATGGCTACGAGTTTAATACAGAATTCATGGGGTAGAAATGAGAACAGGGCAAGATCAAGTACTAAAATGCCTTTTCTGGTTTCTGTCCAGATGTTATCCGTAGCATTAAGATACACAAGGCACTATTATCTTGGCACGGTTGAGGAAATTTTCTTAAATCATGAGTCCTGACCACATGCAGCGGATAGACAAGTCAGAATATAGTTGTCCTCGGCAGCAGCATTCAGGGAACTCCGAATGGTATGATTACCAAGTATATTCTCAAGTATGCATGTAATGTGTAAAGACTGAAATGTTTACCAAAGTACTAAAATTACACTTCAAGGTGATGCGATGCCTCTTTGCTTTGACGATCGCCTTGTGGATTTAACCAAGATGTACCAGACTTAGCGGATGCACTCTCCAGATGTTGAAGAAAATCTATTACCAGAGGATCAGGCCAGGGTGATCCAAATGGAGCATGACCACCCGCAACCCAACCCAAATGGCCGCCTTTGGGTGTCACTATTAACAAGCAATTTGGGTTTTCCTGCCATTAAAAGTTAGACTAATATGAGCCAAAGCATAATTGATTTTTTTTAAAAGAAGAAAAAAAGAGACAGAGAACGAGGGAGAATACTGCTCCTTAAGCTACTATTTCAGAAAAAAAGATGATGACTAAGTGATGCATAGACTATTTGTTTCGATAAGAACCAGGATTAATTTACTTATTGACACTTTAGGTCGAGTGACTGAAGACACAAGGCCCAACTTTAACTGAGGAGGATGCTTGGAACAGATAAAACTGAGGGGTGAAGAAAAAGGGTGTCAAGGTATGCCCAACCAGAAAGTAACCAGGAAGGGATAAAAAATAAAATGGCCACAATTTCCACTCGATGCTTTGTATTCTCAACCGAGTACCATTGAATGAAAATCAAATCATGTTCATTCATATTCAATTTGACTCCGACTCCTATCTTAGTCAAGAATGATATCACTGAATTTTGTGAATTGTGCATACCTTGATATCTTCACGAGGGATTCCCCTAGAAGGAGCAATCGGATCGTTGGCAGCCTTAAATAAAAATAAAAAAACTTTTCATTTCTTGGAATAATACAAATATATTAGCACAGATTTAAAAAGTTGGTCCACAATCCAGATTTAAATAACTAATTTTTTTCCCCAGTCTATGCTTTCACCTGGATGCAGAGCAAAGGAGTTTGAACATGTTTTATTGAATCTGCGCTGCTGGAATTGGAGTAGTATTCATCCACTGACTTGAAACCAAAAGAAACTGCAACGCCACAAAGATGATTCCAAGCATAAAATCTACAATTATGATCCAAATAAGTAACATCAGATAAAGGTAACGAACAGGTTGCATACCACGGGTCAGTCCTTCATCATATTCCCTGATAGACTTGGCATTTTTCGCTAATTCAATGTTATATTCACCACCAATGTCCTCAAAGAGGAAAGCATGCCTGCAAAAAGTTGTTCGTAATATTGTCATGTCTAGTGGATGGATCTTCACATGAAGCTAAAACAACCATCTCTAAAGTATCAAAGGCCTATTACTTCTTGAAATTTTTGCGAAGACCTTTTGCGATGGCCTTGTCATAAACATTGTTGAAGCCCTTGTGGAAGTTATCATCTGTCAAAACCAAATTGAAAGGATTACACAACGCCACAGCACCAGAAAGAGGACAATTGTGGGATTCCTGAAAGTGGCAAACGACAACGATAATGATCATAGTCTGAAGTGATTGTGGAAAATACAATGCGCCAAAAATTAACTTAATACAACGTAGAAACGAAAGCAGATGATATTTAGGTTCCAGATATTAGCAGGAAAAAAATGCGTCCAGCAAATGCTGACCAAATAGATAAAATCAGAGTGCACAAAATTGCATTCTAGTTTATTATATTCAGCCAAATGTAAAATTGTGGTGACATTCTCCAAAATTTTATGGCAAGATGCCCACGGGGGAAAATAAGTCCTCAGATTTTAGTCCAAACCACAATTCAATTGCAAGATATTCATTAAGCCATTCAAATACTGTTTGTCTAGTATTTAGAATTAGCTAATCGCCTAATCGTTGGTACCAACCCCCCCTCCCCAAAAAAAAAGCTAGCTAAATCATTTAATGTTTATACCATAAAATAGGATTTGCCTTGTGAGTTTTCCAGTATATGGATTAAACATAAGGTCAGACGAAGGTTATGCTCTTCTGCTATTCTGGGTAAATGCAGCAAACAATAAATATTTCACCTGACCCAGATAACGAACAAGAAGGTTAGCCCCAAGTGACCAACCGACAGCATACACATTAGCATCAGGGTATAGGGCGTTGACGTGGGAGACTACCTCGCACAGATCTCCTAGAAACGAAGCTGAATAGAACTGCATATCATCAGTGCACAAATTCATCATTATATTTACGGCACAAATATTTCAGCAATAAAATGCAGATCAATGAAAAAGGTTGGTCTCGTTATTTGCATTGACGTTGGTGAAGACGGAAAAGGACTCGTACTGAAATCCTTTAAAGGTGCCCGTGTTCATCAACGTCTATTGTATTAAACGAAACACAAACCAAAGAAGAAGAGTTCAGGGGTGAAACAGAAAGCAAGAAAATTTTATGGACCTGTGGAGTGATAACAGGGCTACTTCCGCAGCCACGATTGTTGAAGACGACAACGCGCCATCCTTTATTTCGGGCTCTAACCAACATATGTCTCGCATAGGAAGCTTCACTGCCCCCAGTTAAACCTGGCTGCAAAACCTCCCATTTAAATTGCTAAGTATCCAAGCACAGAATATCTTCAGTCAACAGAGCAAAGTGGAAAAATGAACGAACCAGCAAAAGAAGGACGGGAGAATCGGGAGGCAAGAGTCGATCGTCGCCGGAAACCCAATCGAGAGCAACAACGCCGTCGTCTTTGGTGCGAATACACTGACGGCGGTATCTGACTTTCGGAGGAGACCTGAAAAAGGAGGCAAAAATGGTTTCTACATGACGATTCGAAGCGATGTAGGGGTAAGGAGTGTAAGGACGGGACAGGTAACCGAGAGAAGGGAGGAAGCGATCACGGGCACCTCCGATGACTTCAAAGGAGGAATCAGGCTGAGGAAGTGACATGGGGACGACGGCGAAGAAGAGAGGCGGAGGGAGGAGAACGGGATCGGCGACGAGGTAGGGAAAGCGAGAGTGGTGCGTAACTGCGTACCCCAACAAAAGGCATTACGAATGCCATTCTTCACGCTAATGCCGCCAACTGGACTATCTCTTTTTCCGGCCGAGAAAACCGCCCCATCTCTTATTCTATCATACTCATACCCTGCGGATCTAACTCCTCTGCTAACACAAGACATTGGCGCCAGCTACGACATAAAATGAACGAAAAGTGGAGGGAAAATGGGTTGACAGGCACTCCTTCTAATATTACATATAAATCATTTCTTATTAATTTATTGAAGTTAATATCCTAATATACTATTTCTGATCCATAATATAATAACTATTTTAAAAATAAATAAATAAATAAATATAAGAGATAAAATAAATTAGGATCTTGTGTTTAGAATTGAAATAAAATTCAAATTAACTCTTATATTAAGAAGCAGAGATAATAATACTTAAATCATTTTACTTTATCCTAAATTAGTGATATTATTAAAAATATATATACTTAAACACATGTTTTATCTAACACATATATAGTCCCTTGCCTAGTTATCTTACTCATAGAAAATTGCAAAAAGATAGAATTGAAACAATAAAATTAATATTTCATCTTTTTATACAAAGTGAAGCAATCAATAACTTTAAAAAGATATATACCTTCTTTTTTCATTTATAAGTTTTTTTTTCAACACGTTTCACGTAGATAAGAAAAATTTTGAACTCCATAAATGTTGCCTTTAAATTTAACAACTTTTAATTTTATTTCTATTTTTTGGTCAAAAAAAATTTTATTCCTATGAGAACAAAATAAATACAATAATTAATGAATGATAAAATTATATATTTATATGAAAAACTGAATTACGTAACTTATAAATAGAAACTTTTTTTTTCTCTTTACTATATTAATAGGACCAAAGCACTAGGTTTTAAAGGAGTGCAACTCCAATTTGTGTCATTAAATATATCTTAAATTGGTTTTAAAAAAAACTTAAATTTGTTCTTATTAAATTTTTTCTCTTTCTTTATATTTACAAATCATTATCACATATTTTTCTTTTTCCAACAGAATCATTAATAACCCTGTAACTTAAACTTAAAGATCAAACATTTCTCTTACATTAGTAATGTAATGGAATGTAGTGCAAAGAGGATTACATAAGTTTGATTGGTTGGTCCTGACAATGTTAAAAAAATAATAACTTATATATTAAATTTTGAAATCATAAAAATTTAAAGGACTGAAATACCCTTCTCCTTCTTTCCTTGCGCCTTCCCTTCCATCGCCCTAACCTCCTCATCTATTATCATAATCATGAACCAAAAATATAATCCAAGGTAAAATCCAAAACAAGAATAGAATTGCAAAATTATTGGGTCAAACCGGATTTGTAAAAGGCAAAGAAAGATGAGGATATGTGAAAAATGAATAAGGATTCAAATCTACAAACTGGAATGTGGAGGTAAAGGAGGTAGAGGGCCGTGGATTAGTGGGGAGGTCAATGATGAAGGTAAATCTGGGAAGAAAATGGTAACATAGAGCCAACGCTGCGAGTGGGAGAAGTTCAATGGAGTGAAGCCAAAACACCCATAGTAATAGAGCACGATAGTTGCTGTAGAGATGATAGAAGAAGTGTCCGTAGTTTGTGACTTTATTTTAAGGACAATAATGTATTTTTCTCACGTTGTAATTGTCATTCATAGCATCTAGCTATGTACTCTTCCGGTCCTTAATATAGGACCCAATAGTTGAGTTGGTTTTAGTCCTAAATATAAGACCCATTTCTCATATTTGTCAATTTTCTTTAAATTACCCCTATAGATACTCCCTCAACCATAATCAAGTAAAAGAGGGAGATGAGGTATTAAGAAAGATAGTTATAGTGTTTTAGGAAAAATGTGTTATATTTTTTATAATTAACTAACTTACCTAACTTTCTTAATCTAATCAAATTAGTTAAATGGGTCTTATATTAAGGACCGGAGGAGTAATATAGATCCAGCCTTATGAGAGGATTACAAAATGTAATCTTTTTTACATTATATGAGTACAACTAAACATCTGGATTAGTCTTTTGCATCATGATTATATATAATCCCCATTCATGCAATCTGACCAAAGGGGCTATTATAACATAACCGAGTGGCATCTAGCAGTTAACATGTAATGAAACGCGATGTCTCTAGCAAACTCTCATTTTTAGCGATCAGCAGCCTCTACTAAAATCAAAATGAGAAGGAAATGGTATCACCAAACAAATAGGAGCAGAATGAAACAGGTCTAATTAAACTAATTAGGAGCAGAATGAATCTAATTAAACTGATTAGGAGCAGTATACTTCGTATAAACTGAATTTTTACTGAGCAAATATCAAACGATTTGTTGGATGACTTGTTTAACTCGCAGGTATTCTATGCTGGCATTCTTAATTTCAGCTAATAATTTTTTGCTGCCGGCAATTTCAGCTAATAAATAACACTTTCATAGGTAACAATACTTACAAACTATTCGTACTATCCAGCTTGCAAGACGTCTTATGCCAGCATCCTTCATTTTCAAGTTGCTAGATATAATTTTTATTACTAAAACGCAATATCATTCGTTGGAGAGGCTCTTCCAACGAGCAAACTTCATTTTTTTTTTTCAAAGAAAGATTATTCATCATTTTCAAACTGCCACATAGAATTCCGGGCCAAAAAAGATTAGAAGATCGATTGAGCAAACTTTGAACTATTTGGTAGAAAATCCTGGTACACCATATAAACGAGATACTCTATCATAGGCCTTCTACCTATAATCTCCGAAGAACAGGCTCGGCCTAATGGTTTAACCAGCATTGTTCCAAGCATCAAAGAAAGGTCATTTGCCCTATAAAACATACAGTAACTAAATGAAACGGTCTGTCTAAAATGGTCCCAGTTAAATCTCACGCAGTGCTTCAAAACACGATATATATGTCTAGAAGAATTTGTTTTTATTAATCACCTTCACTGTAGAACAGCAAGTAAGCCTATTCCACTAACTGCTCTAATATATCATTTCACGGTAAGATAATGAGATATTATTCTACATACATATAAGTTTCTTTCAGATATTGACCAGCAATTGGCAAATGCTCTCAGAAATAAAAATAACATTATTAATTTTCAATACAAGGGCAGAATAAGGCCCCCGAGTTTGAATACAGGAATCATGAGATTGTGGGGCAGAAATAAGATGGGGATATGAAAACATGGCAAGAGACCCTATTCTCCCGACATGACTGAGGATTTTTTCCCCCCTTAAATACTGAGTCCTGACCACTGCATGCAGCGAACAAACAAATGAGAATATATTTGTCCCACGCAGCAGCATTAAGGGGACCCTGACCAATGGTATGATTATAAACTCTAAAGTATGTTCTCAAATATGTATACATAATGTATAAAAGAATGTTCACCAGCGTATTAAAACTACACTTCGAGGTGATGCAATGCCTCTTTGCTTTGATGAGATGTACCAGACTTGACGGGTCCTCTCTCCAGATATTGAAGAAAATCCATAACCAGAGGATCGGTCCAGGGGGATCCAAATGGAGCATCATCACCGGCAACCCAACCCAAATGGCCTCCTTTGGGGGTCACTATTAACAAGCAGTTTGGGTTTTCCTGACATTAAAAGTTAGAATTGATATCATAAGAGCCAAGGCATGATCGATTCAATAATTAAAGAATTATAAGCAAGAGATGGACAGAGTGAGAGACAGAGTTTATTAGAATGGGGTTTACTTAAAAAGCGGGTATAGAGTATCAAGAGAATATTGTTGCTTAAAAGCTACTGTTTCACAAATGACAACCAAGGTATGCAATTCCCTCTTTGTTTTGATGACAATCAGGATTAATTTACTCATTGACACTTTTGGTCGAGTGAAAACACAAGGCCCAACCTTAGAATGATGCTCAAACAGATGAAAATGAGGGTTGAAGAATAAGGGTGTCAATATATGCTCAGCAAAAGAATAGGGAGAGTGGGAAAATAAACAGCATGGCCACCATTTGCACTCCCTTCCTCAAAATCCTCTCTCACTTCAAAGTCAGAGAAAAATGAGATGTAAACAGAAGAGTATTTATTGTCTGAAAACCACAGTATCATACCAACTTGCAAATTATCTATCCAGTACCAATGAATGAAAATCAAACATTTTTCATTTCTAGTTATTTTGATTCCAGCTCCTATTTTATTTTCATGTATCCCTTATCACGTGTGTTTTTAATCAAGAGTGATAGCATTGATATTCTGAATCATGCATACCTTGATGTCTTCACGAGGAATTCCCCTAGCCGGAGCAATTGGATCATTGGCAGCCTAAAATTGAAAAAAAAACAAAAAAACAATACTATGAATAGTTCAAATATATTGGTTCAGAGTCATTAGGAAAAAATAATTTATTTTGACTAGTTCAAATATTACTTTTTCTCCCCCTTCATATGTGTGTGTGTGTGTGTGTGTGTGTGTGAAAGTTTCTAGGCTCCTTCTCCTTCCTTTGGCCTTGCATCTTGCACAGCATAAACTGTATAGAGGAGAACGATGTTTTCTTGTACTTATCTAATATTGGTCAGAAAAGGGAAAGAAGAAACTTGCACATTCCCACTATTATGTAATTAGTTGTCGACTCAAAAAATGATAACTTATGTAGTGCCGAAATAAAGCAGAAAACAGTGCAGGATTTTCTTTTAATTCAATTTTGTACTGCTTAATAACGCTAAAATCAGAAGCATATATAACTCTACTTTTTTCTAGTCAATATTTTCACCTGGATGCAGAGCAAAGGAGTTTGAACATTTTTTATTGAATCTGAGCTGCTTGAATTGGAGTAGTATTCATCCACTGACTTGAAACCAAAAGAAACTGCAAAGCCAAAGGGATTATTCCCGAGCATAAACACTCACAATAATAATCCAGGTAGATTCAATAATGACAAAGAACAAGGCTGCATACCACGGGTTAGTCCATCATCAAAGTCCCTGACAGACTTGGCATTCGCCACCAATTCAATGTTATATTCACCACCTACGTCTTCAAAGAGTAAAGCATGCCTGCAAAAAGTTGCCATGATATTGTCATGTCTAGTGGATGGATCATGGATCTATTCACTTGAAACTAAAACAACCATCTCTAACATATCAAAAGCCTACTTCTTGAAAATTTCACGAAGAGCTTTTGCAAGAGCCTTATCATAAACATTGTTGAAGCCTTTATGGAAGTCCTCATCGGCCAAAACCAAATTGAAAGGATTACACAGTGACACAGCGCCAGAAAGAGGACAAGCGTGGGATTCCTGAAAGTGGCAAATGACAAATATGATGATCATAATCTAAAGTAGAATTCAATGAATTATAAAATATATGATGCGCCAAAAATTAGATGATACGATGTAGAAATAAAAGCAGATATTTGGTTCCAGATAATAGCAGACAAAACACAAAGTACATTACTAGAAACGCTCACCAGACGACTAAAGTGAGAAGGTACTAAATTGCATTCCAGTTGATTGAGTTCAGCTAAATGCAAAATTTTAATGATATTCTTCAAATTATATGACAAGATGCCCACGGAGAACCACAATTTGATATTAAGACATCTATCAGGGCAATCAAATTCTTCATCTGAGTAGCACGAACAAGGTTTTAGAAGTACATGCTCCAAGCAGTTTAAATTGCTTGTTTAGTATTAAAAATTAGCTAATCGTTCACACTGGAAGAAAAATGGGCAATCGTTTTAAGAAACATTTAATGTTTCAAGAAACCATAAAAGAGGATCAGCTAATTGAGTTTTCCAGCCTAAGGCAGTAACTAGCACGGCTAAACCAATTTAGACGAAGGTTGTGCTCTTCTGCTATTATATAGATATCTTACCTGACCCAGATAACGAACAAGAATGTTTGCCCCAAGTGACCAACCGACGGCATATATGTTAGCTTCAGGGTACAGCGTATTGACATGGGAGACTACCTCGCGCATATCTCCTAGAAACGAAGCTGAATAGAACTGCATATCAGTGTACAGATTAATCATATATTTATGGCACAACTAAGTCAACAATAAAAAAGCATATCTTAGCATTAGTGATTGAAAAGGATAAAGTCTTAAAAAATGCAAAGTGTTTCTTCTTCTACAGTGTATAGTTGTTGACAAACACGGAAAGGAACCCAGCCTGAAATAGCAGCAATTTTTAGAAACGAAGCACAAGCCAGTGAAGCAGAGTCAAACATTATTAAAATTTTAAAGAAAGAAACAAAATGAAAATTATATGGACCTGTGGAGTGATAACAGGGCTATCTCCGCAGCCACGACTATTGAAGACAACAACACGCCATCCTTTACTTCGGGCTCTAATCAACATATGTCTCACATAGGAATCTTCACTGCCCCCGGTTAAACCTGGCTGCAAAACCCCGCATTTGAATTCCTAAACACTAAGCAAAGAATTTCTTCCGTCAATCGGCAAAAAAAAAAAAAAAAGAAAGTGAAGTATGAACGAACCAGCAAAATAAGGACGGGAGAATCAGGAGGCAAGAGTCGATCGTCGCCGGCAACCCAATCAAGAGCGACAGCACCGTCGTCTTTAGTGTGAATACACTGACGTCGGTACTTGACTGGAGGAACAGACCTGAAAAGGGCGGCAAAGATGGTCTCGACGTGGCGACTAGAAGCAATGAAGGGGAAATGAGGGTAAGGACGGGACAGGTAAGAGAGAGCAGGGAGGAAGAGGTCGCGGGCACCTCCGATGACTTCAAAGGAGGAATGAGGCTGTGGAAGTGCCATGGGCACGACGGCGGCAGGAGAAGAAGAAAGGCGGACGGAGGAGGAAGAAAACAGCGAGCGAGTGATCAGGCGAGAAGGCAGCGGCGGATGCTTTGGGAGCGGGGGGCGCCCCAAAATAGGCCTTGCCAATGCCATCCTTTACGCTTCTGCCAACTGGACCATCTCTGTTATTTTATCTTCCTCAGTACGCGAATTCTGCAGGACTCCGCAATCTTAATTCAATTCATGCTTCTCTTTTTGACCAACGGATAATAAATTTATTCAACCTATTTATCTGTATTTAATTTGATCCTAAACGGATAATAGGGTTCTTTTTCTTTTTTTTTTTAATCCTGGTTCCAGTTGTTTCTGCTTTGATTGTACTAGCTATGTTTTAGTTCGTAAATAGAAGTATGTTCTTTGGCAAACAAAAATTCCACTTTATCTTTCAAATTCGTAATATTTTTTAAAAAAATATCATTATTAATTGTAAGAATTTTTTTATTAAAAATAGTTCTAATACATGTAATTAAATAGAGTAATTTTAAAAAGTCAACATATGTTCGCTATATGGCCCTGTTTGGCAGAGCGGTAGAAATTCCCTATAAGCATGTTTCACATAAGTTGAGACGAAAATCATTTCACATACTTACTCCGTATTCCTTAAATCACTATTAAAAAGCAGCTTATAAGCTACTTATAAGCTATTCCAAACGGACTCAATAATTAACTAGCTTACCTGATTTTATTAATACTTGTTTGGCATTACTTATATAAACACGTTTTACATAAATTAAGACAAAACTCACCTCACATATTTACCTTATATTTTGTAAATTATGATTGAAAAGCTTTCTTATAAATCATTCCAGACGAGTCATTAATCTCTTTAAATCAGTTATCAAGCTTTTATATTAAAAACAAGAAACAGTATATAACAATTTGCTGGAAAAAAAAAATAACAGTTCAATTTAAATGCGTTTTTTTGCATTAACATCAACCCATCAATTTTCACTATATTTTGGATTAGTTTCTTCTTCTCAGATTGTGTGGCCGTTATTTCTAATGGGATTGGATGTGATTGCCGCGGCTGATAGTGGAGAGGCATGGCTGAAAACTATTGGGAAGCACTGATGCGGGATGCCTCATGTTCCACATGGCTCAATTATTTGAGGCTTTATCATGATTTATGAATGGGGGAAATGGCAAATAAAGACCTTTGAAAATATAAAATGGCAATTTGGGTACCTCAATTCACAAAATAGCTATCAGAGACCGGGTCCTAAATTGCAATTATGAAATGCAGGAGAAAAGTCAAAAATGTCATTCCCTTTCTCTTCTTTCCGTCTCATCCCCTCCCTCTTTTTCTTTCTTCTCTTTCTCTCTCTCTCTCTCTCTTCGTCCTTCTCTTTACTGCTACTGAATCAAGCTCAAAGCATAGCACTCTAGTCCTCACCTCAGCCACGTCTCTCACTTCAGAATTTAGAGGGAGAGAAAGGCGATGCTATGTTCTGATTCTTCCACCATAGCTCAAAACCCTATCTCCATTTCCACCTTCCATAGCCACAAACCTGGTGCAGCGAAGAAGGTTCTGTACCTTAGAATATTTGGTAAAGTTTCAGCTTGTACTATTATCTCTTGTAACAAAATAATATTGCGATGGTTTGTTGGATTTTGAATAGAAAATCTACTTTGAAATTATTATTCCTTGTCTCGGAGAGAGAAGGAACAGTGTAGCAAAGCATGTTGGAGCATTGTTTTATGCTTGTTTAAGATTATGTGTAATGCTTACAGAGTGTGATATTCTGCCCCTGCTTGAACTAAGTACCAAATCTGCAACATTATTTGATTCATCTTTTATCACCTTGGATATATCAGAACAGTTATGGAAGAAATCAAGAAATGAAAATTCATGATTAACTTTCATTAGTCAATTTATCAATTTCATGGAGAAAGTCAAAGGCTATTTTAATGTGTATGTGTCTTTTTATATATAGTTTGAACTTTTATGTGTTTACATACCCAGAAAACATACCAAGATCATATTGGATTTTGTCTTGCATACAGGACAATTCTTCCAAATGGAACAAGGTGTCAAGAAATTCTTTGAGAACTATGGTTAGATTAGGAAATACATTTCAATTTGATGGTGACAAGTTCATAATCTACTCCTCCTTAAAGAATGAAAGCTTGGATGATTCATTGCATGTGAATGAGGAAGGGAAGTCAACTTTATGATGGAATGTAAGACTCAAGATTGCATGAGGTGTAGCTCGTAATTAGTTTCCTTGTACAAGGGGTTCAACTCACTGAACTTGTCATTAATCTTACTAAACTTGTCATTTACTGCTTATCAGAAGTAGTTGCTGTCAGAAATCTGCAAATTTTAATTTCAACAGATAAATTTGAAATTGTATGAAACCTTATGGGAACTTGTTATTTGCTATACTCAATTTGTCATTTGTCATAGTAAACTCGTTACTTCGTAAATCAATGTGAAAATTCAGTCATTTTGACAGAGAAATTTGAAATTGTGTGAAAACCTGATGGAACTTGTCATTTGCCAAACTCAACTTATCATTTGCCATAGTAAACTTGTCACTTCATAAGTCAATATGAAAATTCAGTCATTTTAACGAAGAAATTTGAAATTGTATGAAAATCTCATAGGAACTTGTCATTTGCGAACTCAACTTGTTATTTGCCATAGTAAACTTGTCACTTCATAAATCAATGTGAAAATTCATTCATTTTTTTGAAATTATATGAAAACCTTATGGGGACTTGTCATTTGCCAAACTCAACTTGTTATTTGCCATAGTAAACTTGTCACTTCGTAAATCAATGTAGAAATTCAATCATTTTAATGGAGAAATTTGAAATTGTATGAAAACCTTATGGGAACTTGTCATTTGCCAAACTCAATTTGTTATTTGCCATAGTAAATTTGTCACTTCGTAAATCAACGTGAAAATTCTGTCATTTTGATAGAGAAATTTGAAATTGCATAAAAACCTTATGGAAACTTGTCATTTGCCAAATTCAACTTGTCATTTGTCATAGTTAACTTGTCACTTTATAAATCAATGTGGAAATTCAGTCATTTCAATAGAGAAATTTAAAATTGTATGAAATTCTTATGGGAACTTATCATTTGTCATATTCAACTTGTTATTTGTCATAGTAAACTTTTCACTTCGTAAATCAATATGAAAATTCAGTCATTTTAACAGAGAAATTTGAAATTGTATGAAAACCTTATGTGAACTTGTTATTTGTCAAACTCAACTTGTCATCTGCCATAGTAAACTTGTCATTTCATAAATCAATATAAAAATTTAGTCATTTTAACAGAGAAATTTGAAATTGTATGAAAACCTTATGGGAACTTGTCATTTGTCAAACTCAACTTGTCATCTACCATAGTAAACTTGTCATTTCATAAATCAATATGAAAATTTAGTCATTTTAACAGAGAAATTTGAAATTGTATGAAAACCTTATGAGAACTTGTTATTTATCATACTCAGCTTATCATTTGTCATAGTGAACTTATCACTTCTGATAAGGTTTTTATACAAGTTTACATTTCTCTTCGTAAATGATAATTTCCAGAATTCTTTGACAACAACCAGTTTTTTACAATGAAAGGAGGTAACAGTTGTTAATTCGAGTATATCAGTAGGAGATGAGGTTGTAGAATAAAGAGAGATTATGGAGAATGAGAGCTTTTATATGAAGAGTACTATATTAGGCTATTAGCATTACATGTTTTGCAGAAAATTAAATATGGAAGCTACACGGTTAACATGTTTTCATTTTTTCCATTGCAAATCAATGGGTTGGGAAAAACATAGAAGAACGTCACGGTTCTAGAGAAGAAGAATGAAATCGAAGGAGAGTAGAAGAAGGAAAGAGAAGAAAGAGGGGGGAGAGAGAGAGAGAAAGAAAGTCAGAAATTTACGTTTCCAGAGAGGGAGAGTAGGACAAAGAGAGAGAGGAAGAGAAGAAGGAAAGAGAAAGAAATGAGGTGCTGGAAGAAAGAGAAAAGGAAGGGCATTTTAGTCATTTGGGCTTCATTTCATAATTGCAATCTAGGACCCGGTCTCTGATGGCAATTTTATGAATTGAAGTACCCAAATTGCCATTTTATATTTTCAAGGGTCTTTATTTGCCATTTCCCCTTATGAATGGATGATTTCTTCTACCAAATTATCAAAGTTTTAATAGTAATGAGTCCACTTTTCGTCCCTTTGAACGATGTTATTGTTTTTTGGTCAAAAGATTTAAACGATGTCTGAATCATCAAATTAGCATAAGGATTCATGTATCTTGGATTTTTTTTTTAATTTTAATTCTCGTATATGCTTTTTAAATTTTTTTGAATAAAGTCCATTTATTTAAAAAGTAAAATGAGTATGTTAAAATGTAGACCTACCACATCTGAAAAATTTGAGTAAAACTCAAATTACTCAAATGATTAAGCTGGCTTAGAACAACAAAGATAGAAACCCAGCAATACAAACTGCAACAAAAGACAGAAATATATGTTATGGAGGTGTTTGGGTGATACCTCAAACCATGGTTTGGGAAAAAATCACCCAAACACCCTTAAAAAAACCAAAACCATGGTTTTGGGAAAAGCAAAAATTTTTTGCTTTTGGAAAAAAAAAAAGAGTGTGTGAGAGCCTATAGGATATGTATTTTGTTTTTTTTATAAACATATTTTTTTATAAATATATTTAATCTTATATCTTATAAATATATATACATATTAATTATTAATTAATTATATTATCTTATGTATTATTAATTATGTTAATAAAAAATATATTATTAACAATTTTATTCCTTCAAATTAAAATATATCATAAAATATTTTTTTTCTGTAATTATCATATTAACTTATGCCTTTTTTAGTAATTTGTACATGTAAAAAGTGCTTCTGGGAACAACTATCCAAACACTCTCACTTCTCAGAATCACTTTTTCACAAAATCTATTCTTCAAAAAATCTATTCTTCCCAGAATCTATTCTCCAGAAGCTATTCTCCAAACCATGGTTTGGTTATATCCAAACACCCTCTAAGACAAAAGTGGAAATTTTATTTTAATTTTTTAATCCGAGTTTAAACATTTGCCTGAGAATGGGATAGTATATGTATAACGTATGTGCTTAGCATGTGCACCCTATTAGTGAGGCCAATTAATCGGCATGTAATACTGAAATCTCTACTCTGTGGGTGCATTATGAATTACAGAATTAGTTTATCGGCCTCTTTTCAAGCATTGAAGAACTGAAAGGCTAAACATGGTGTATGCCTGCCTTCGATGTTACAGAACGCGAAGAACCAGGGATGCATATTCAGTGCACATCACTCTAGCTAGTGTGATCTAAATTTTATTAGAGTGCAGTGAATTTTATTTTAGAAATTATAAAAATCAAAATGTTAATAATTTTTAATGGGATTAATATAATTTTTAACTTTTCAAGTTTGCATTCATTTTGAATTTTACCCCTTAAATTTCAAACCACATGTCTTAATCCTTTAAGAGACAAAACATTCTAAGTTTTTATTAAATTATAAAGACTAATATTTTAAATAAAAAAATTAATAAATAAAAATTTATGATTTAAAATTTGAGAAATTAAAACTAAAATAAAAATAAATTGAAGAGGCTAAAACTTATATTAGCCCTAACCTGAAGCCAAGCACGCATTTAATATACTGTCATGTTGAGATTATGACGGCATCACCGCCATGTGTACATTGTGATGGATGATGCGGATTGCGGAAAAAATTAAGGGAGAATATTATTTGAGTCTTATGTACGGAAATATTAACACTTTGATCCCTTAAATAATGATGCTTCTAATTAAAAGAGTTAGTTGACTAATTTGAAGAGATTAAGGAAAAAAGTTAAGTTAGTTATTTGTAATAAATATATATTGTATTTCCTAAAATATCCTTACTAATCAAATATATCAGCTAGAACTATCATTGTTAAAAGGATTACATTGGGAAAAAAATACATAAATATAAGAGACAAAGTGGATTGGGGTCTTATATTTAGGACTAACATAAAAGTCAAACATGGTTCTATATTAAGGACCGGAGGTAATATTACTAATCCGTTTAAAATTGACAACTGGGAAATATTATACTACCTCCGGTCCTTAATATAAGACCCTGTTTGACTTTTATTTTGATTCTAAATATAAGACCTCAATTCACTTTGTTCTCATATTTATACATTTTTTTTCTAAAATAACCTTCTAACAATGATAGTTCAAGTCAATACACTTGATTAGTAATGATATTTTAGGAAAGACAACACCTATTTAGGACAAATAACTAACTCAACTTATTTTCTTAATCTCCTCAAATTAGTCAACTAGCTCTTATAATTAGGACCGGAGGTGGTATTAACAATTATTTTTTGGGAAGTATAAATCAAAATATTGGTAAAGCACTTTAAATGTCCTTTTGTCATACAAATGACCCATAGCAAGACATTTGTGTTTGCGTGAATGTTTTCTCTAAGTGTTACCTTAAAGGCTGCGTTTGGTTTTCGGAGGGAAGGGGAGGAAAGTTGATCCCCCCTTGTTTGGTTGGAAAATTTTTTAAGGGGAAAGGAGAGTTGCTCCCTTCCTCTCGCTTGGTTGGACATTTTTTAAAGAGGAAAGGGGCTCTCTTTCCCTCCTTTTTCTTTTTTAGTCTCTGCTCTAAAAGTGAGGTTTTTTAAAAGAAAGATGAGAGATAAAATTTTATATTTCAAAATTAACCTGAATGAAATAATTTAATTTCTCATTTACCCTTAATTTTTTTAATGCCTTGATATGCTATAATTGTGTGTGAGAGTTGACTTTCCACGGATAACAAGCCGCCATCACCAAGAAGTCAATCCAAATCGTCTTCAAAATTGTGAGTATTCTTTGATTATACATATTTATATCTTGACAAAATGAAAAAGTGGAAAAATTTATTTTAATTTTATAAGATTAAAATAGTTAATTTTTGATTAATTCCCTTCCTCTCTTTTTATAAACCAAACAAGGTATCATTAAAATTTCTCTCATTCTCCCCCTTCATTAAAATCACTTCCCTCCCTTCCCCTTGTCAAGCCAAACACAGGTAAAGGTAGCTCCATTTTTTATTTTTTTTAAAATCATCGTTACATTTTTTTAACTGTTTTATATTTCTTTTATTGTATTATGAGCTTTGGTATATACTTTTTATGTTCATGTTGATCATTGTGAAGAAAAATGTTATTCTTCCGTTTTTTTTTTTGGTTTTGAAATATTCTTCCATATTTTAGAGCAATGCATTACAACCACAAGGTAACAAATGACGCGCCAATTGCTAAAATAATAAGATAGTTGAAGGCATGATCTCTCTTATCATAAATATTTCATCACTTCCACATTTGAAGTTTGGTTCTGTTTCCCCCCAATACGATGATGGCTTTTGTTAGGAAAAATGTAACGAAATTAAAATCTTAACGATTTGACATAAAAATCTTTCAACGTTTTATTTGAGAGAATGAAGATCCACATAAAAAAAAAATATCGAAACAAAAAAGTCTCGAATGCATATAATATGCAAAGCATGCTGAAGAATACAAGAGAAAAGATCAATGACAGATTTAGAGCTAGAAAAAAGAAATTACGAAGAAAGAAATCCTATTAAAAAACAACGAGGGAAATTATAATTCCAGAAATCTACATCAAGCTTGAGAAGAAATTAAAGTACCAAAGCTTGAATCGCCAGATCTTCTGTCTCACCAATCTCACCTTATAGTTTATTAGAATTGTACAATGTGAGGTGACGAAAATTTTTTTTGCCAGCGGTGAGGTAATGAAATTTGCAAGTTTTACTCTTTCAAGCTTCACTTAATTCCAGACAAACAACAAATGATTTAGGGGGCGTTTGACATATAATTTTTTTTTTAAAAAAAATATTTTTATGTAAGTTAAAATAAAATTTTTCTCATATACTACTACCCCCGATCCTAATTATAAGAGCCAGTTGCTATTTTTGAAGAGATTAAAGAAATAAGATGAGTTAGTTATTTGTCCTAAATATGTGTTGTTTTTCCTAAAATATCCTTGTTAATCAAGTGTATTGATAGAACTATCATTGTTAGAAGGGTTACTTTTGAAAAAATGTATAAATATGAGAGACAAAGTGAATTGGGGTCTTATATTTAGGACAAAAATAAAAGTAAAACAGGGTCTTATAATAAGGACCGGAGGTAGTACTTAGTTTATATACTATAACATTATTTTTAAAATTATAATTTGATTTTTACTCATATATCTCCTTATGAGGTGTTTGGATAGAAACCAAACTATGGTTTTAGAAGTGCTTTTACGGTTTACGAAGTAAATATGTGGATGAATTTGTATCGTTTTGAGAAAAAGTACTTCTGAAACCATGGTTTAGAGTTTGTCAAACACCCCTTGGTGTTACGTTGGCAAATGCTTAATGTTGATTGAAACTTTGCAAACTGTTGGCCAAAAAAAAAACTTTGCAAACTATTAGGGGCTAACTTAAATAATGGAGAAAATTATAAGAAGTAATTTTACCCAATTTCAAACTCCTAGCAGGACCAACCTAAAAATCGTTGTAAAGGATGTCGATGAGGTTGTAATTACTGGTACTGATTGTCAATATTTCCATTATTTCGTAGCAAAGGAGGGCAAAAGAAGTTAATACAACATCACCAGTTTACGTTTTCGCGAGTTGAACGTGGTAAAGTGGTAAGAACTCAGAACAGTTCTCTGTCCCTCCGCTTTTGCAGAGGTATTGCACTGTTAGTTATCTCTCGGTGCTCTACCTTCTCATTCCGTCACTCTGTGCTTGTCAATTAGATCAGTCCGAAACTCCTCCGTTCATTTTTTCTACAGTAAAATTTGAATCTCGGAAAATGTCGTTGGAACCTGAATTGCAAAACGGACTCCAATCAGCGCATCATCCTCAATCTGAGGAAAATCCATCGTCAGAAATAGAACCACAACCGGCATCTCCAACCCATCAACAGCCACAGCCTGAACTGGAATCGGGATCAGAACCTAAAGCAGAAGCTGAACCAGTGAAGACCGATGTAGATCTCAAGTCCTCTGAAGCTTCACAAACCTCGATCCGCTCCAATGACGCCGATCACACCCACTCTGCCGAACCAACTTCACGCCCTGAGCTCCGAAAAGACGAAGGAAGTCGAACTTTCACTATGAGAGAATTGCTGAATGGATTGAAAAATGATTCTGAGCAAGACAGAGAAGATGCCAGCTCACCTTACAGGTTCCCCTTCTGTTGTTCAATTGATGCTCTCCTCAGCCATATTCTTTTGTTTATATATCGTCTTCTTTAGCCTTTGCTGTACCTGCGAGGAATTTCTCGACATTTAATCAATGTGTGCATACATTGACCGTGGAATGTGATGAAGAACTTAACCAATTGATTCTTATCTCAACATCACCCAATTACTATTCTGAATTTTGACGATGAAATCTCCTTGGGAGTTACCACACATTTACTATTACTATTGCAATAGAAAACTTTTTCACAGTAGCTCTTAAGTTTTTCACCTAATTATTAATTGGACTGCTACATAAATGATTTTTATGAATGAAGTTACTTTGAACTCTGCGTGGTTAATTCCTACAATATCAGTGTGAAGTTTTGGTTATTATTCTATTTCTGAATTCGTATTTACTGCTCCTTTTCGCATGGATAAATGCCTTATCGGTTTCATCCTTTTATGTTCAGCCATGCTACATCAAAAGCATATAAGTTTTAGGATTTTGAGAGTGCTTTTCTCTCTTATGGATGAAATTTAACTCTACATACTTCTGAAAATTTTTAGCCAAGAAAGTCCGCACCAACAGCAATCAGAACAGAACAATGCCGCAATGGCTTTGATAAATAGTGTTGTAGGTGTTGATGAGGAAGGTCGGTCCCGGCAACGTATTCTTACATTTGCTGCTAGGAGGTGCTGCAATCAGTTCTTATCTTCAACTCTCTACATTCATGCCAAAAAAGTTGTTAAAGACCAACATTTTATTTGGGAAATGCCGTCTTTATTGTGTTCATTTGGAGGTTTTCGTTTCTGATTATACTTTCAATTGATTTTTCTAGGTATGCTACTACAATTGAGAGAAATCCAGAAGATTATGATGCATTGTACAACTGGGCTTTGGTACTTCAGGTCTGATTGGCTTTCTTGTTCTGTTCCTTAGATATTGAAGTAATGTGCTATTTTCTTTTTACTGTACTTGCAGCGTGCTTGAATTTTAACAATTTATTACTCCCTCAAAGTTATACTTTCGTGGTATTTCACCCATATGCATAAGCGCACCATGGAAGATGAAGAGTGAATTTTGTATATTGTTTTTATTCGAGGTTTTTCATCTCTTTCTTCTCTTGAAGAAGAATATCTGTCGTTAAATATTTTTAACATTGTCTCACTGCACCATGTATATTCTCATAAAAATGATATTGCAACCTGAGTTGCATTGCATGCTAAGACCTCCTGTTTATGTTTTCCGATCATGGAAAAAACTACTTGATTGTGCTAACAATAGGGTCTATTTACTCCAAAGTTTATGTAAACTTCCCACTCAACCATCCCTGGTGTGCAGGAGAGTGCAGATAATGTCAGCCCAGATTCTACGTCACCTTCCAAAGACGCATTGCTTGAGGAAGCTTGTAAAAAATATGATGAGGCTACTCGTCTTTGTCCCACACTTCATGATGTATGTAAGGATATCCTCTGAAAATTCTTATCAAATGACTACAACCAAGCTACAATTGCTGTCTGGGCTGTCAGCCTATTTGCAGGATTAGTGCTTGATAAATCCTCGTCATGAGTTTCTATACAGCCAGGATGAGAAATATGTTCTCCCCCCCCCCCCCCCAACAAATCAAGCTATATTTGTATGTTCATGCGTAAATGGATTAGGATTTTCCCCCCTCACACTTGATGGTATACAGGCCTTCTACAACTGGGCTATAGCAATATCTGATAGAGCTAAAATGCGTGGCCGCACAAAGGAAGCTGAAGAGCTATGGAAACAGGTGAACAAATGATTGTTACCTTCTGTTATGATTTTATCTATACTTAACATTAGGGAAATGAGTACTGCTTTTGACCGCTCTTGCTATTGCTCAGTCTGATTATGGATGATGCTATAACATGTGTAAACTTGAGTTTATGTTCTTAGAATTCTATCTTTATTATGCTTGATATAACTGAGAGGCTCAGCATTAAACAACCTAATTTTTGTTGAATATTATATTTTGTATTTCAGGCTACAAGAAACTATGAAAAAGCAGTCCAACTCAACTGGAACAGTCCTCAGGTTCATCTCGATCAAACTTTCCTTAAGTTTCATTAAAAGCATGCTCATTTGCATGCCGAACCCTTGTTACAATCTGACATGGAATTTATTTCAGGCACTTAACAACTGGGGACTTGCTCTTCAGGTATTATAAGTTACCACATTGTTTATCTTAAAAGCGTTCCACCAAATTTTTTTTTTTTTTTGGTGCTGGTGGAATTGCTTGATTCTTAATATCTTAAATACGCTGCTGAATATATTATTGCTCATGATTTAAACATGAATCTCTTAACAATTTTAACTGCCAGCTGTGTATTTATTCAGATATTATTGTTTTATCAAATAGTGAATCGTAGTGATATAAAATTATACCTAGAAACCATGATCAGTAACTAATACAATGTAAATTTTACCAAGAATATCAGCTTAATTAATCAATTGAAAGTTTTTGTTGCCAGTTACCAATTAAAAGGGTCGGTCAACCAATTAGGTTATCGTGCACCTGTGCTTGCATGCCAACGTATGAATCAAGATTATGTCATAACCAATCAGTTCTGCTCTTTCTTTCTAACATTGTTAAATTACAGTCATTAGAAAAGCATCTTAATGTTCAGAACTTAAAAAAAAAAAAAAAAGCTCATAAATTTAAAATTAATGATTAAGCCTGAATTAAAGCTTTAAAATACAACTTGAAGATTACTATTTCCCACAATTAACAAAACTGAATCAAATTGGGGTTTCTGACTCATTTTTCCCTTGCTTACGGTCTATTTCCTGATACCCTGAGAATTATTTAATAGATCCCATGCTTGAAGCTGTTCTATAATTTCCATATATCATATTTTGTGTGGAAATTCTTAATATCTTTTTCTTTCTTTTTTCTTAACTGGTCCCCCACTTAGGAACTCAGTGCCATTGTTCCAGCACGAGACAAGCAGAAAATTGTTAGAACTGCTATAAGCAAGGTACGAATCCTTTTTATTTTTTCTCCTGTTTCCTTTTGTTTTCCCCCTTTTTTGGGGGTGGGGAAGGGGAAATAATCAGGTAAATATTATCAGTAAGCGATTTTTTGCTTATGATGCCTTGTTAATAAAATCTACTCTCTCGTCTGCCTTTTTAACTTATCCATATTCTTCAATGCAGTTCCGTGCGGCCATACAGTTGCAATTTGATTTCCATAGGGCAATTTACAATCTTGGAACTGTTCTGGTGAGATTGCTGCTGCTTCTCATAGTATATGTTTTATTGCCATGAATTGACCAGTAGTCGAGTTGAGAGTAAGTATTGCATGCATTGTATTTCTTTTTCAGTACGGATTAGCTGAGGACACTCTCAGAGCTGGGGGATCGGTCAGTGCTAAAGAAGTTTCACCAAATGAATTGTACAGCCAATCTGCCATATATATTGCCGCTGCTCATGCATTGAAACCGAATTATTCAGTAAGAAATTAATGTCTGCTTTTTTTTTTTCCCCCCGACGATTAGATGCTTTTTTCAGATTAAGAAAACTTGTTGATGAAGATAACATCCCTCATTTTTACAGTTAGCCTTTCATTTCTCATTTTGATATTTTTCCTTTTCAACTATGTAGCCTTATTTTATTTTTTTGTAACAGGTTTATAGCAGTGCCCTGCGGCTGGTGCGTTCTATGGTGAGTACAACATTTTTCTCTTAAACTGTTTTCAGAATACCTTTCAAGCTTGGACTGAAATGTCAATATGGAACAGGAGTTACTGTATTATTTGCCTTCAAATTGCTCCATTTTGAAGCTCCTTAATCCTTTCTCTTTAGAGAGTCATATTGGCCCTTATCTTCTCTATTGCTTCAAGTAGTTCATCTTGTCTCTCAAGACATATATATGTTGTTATAGCATACTGTTTGTGACCTATGAAGTTGTGTGGGTTGTTTGAATCATTTATTTGTTATCTGTACAATAAATTTGACACAACTCCATTTTGACAGCTGCCCCTACCGCATCTTAAAGTTGGATATTTGACTGCACCTCCTGCGGGGAAACCAATTGCACCTCATAATGACTGGAAGCGATCAGAATTCCTTTTGAATCATGAAAGACTTCAACAGGTAAGATATGATTGGCTTACAAATTGAAATCCTTGCTTTTGTCAGCCTTTTTTTTTTTTTTTAACCCCATATCACTGGAAATCTCTAACACAAGCTCCCTTTTTTTTTTTTGGCCAAAACACGTGCTCCTTTTAAATTAATTAAATTACATTCCTCCATTCAGATTTCTAGAAGTTCCTCCGACAGATCAACAGATATGGTGAATGGAGACAGGAAATTTGTCAGAGTAGATGTTGCAGATATTGTTTCTGTATCAGCGTGTGCTGATCTAACTTTACCACCTGGTGCAGGCCTCTGCATAGATACAGTTCATGGCCCCGTTTATTTGGTAAGAATAATTTATATTCACTTTGGAGTTGTTCCACACTATATAGATTTGTTGCTTCCCGCTCTCAAACTTTCCTGCACTGGTCAGGACCATGGTAATGTTTTAGATAATGTTGATTGAGGACGACATAGGTCAATTTTGCAATGATTAGGTCATAATTTTTATGATGAGTGCCCCATGTCTTCCTATCGAATAATCAATAATCCATTAATGAAAAGATCACTTTCATCCCCTTAACATTGCTATGATTTTATGTTGTATTCTTGGTTTTTTTTTTTTTTTTGGGGCGAAATGTTGTATTCTTAATTTTAATGCCCACGTGATATTTCACTTAGATCTGTTGATGCCTTTTCAGAAAAGGATTATTTCTTGTGATGGCTGGTTTTGTGTTGATAGAATACTTTTAACATGAGATTACTGTCTTTAAATGAGATGGCTATTACAAGAAATCTGTCCTCATTACATCTACATGGCATGAGTCCCTCTTATCATGAAATTTATGCAGCTACCCTAATATTCATGCAAAGCATCATTTCCCCTTGTATTCCTCTCCTTTTTCTTTTTTTTTTTGGTGAAATGTATTCCTCTCCTTTACTCATTGCTAAAGCACATCGGTAAATGTTCTATATCAAAACCTAATACTCTTTGATTTTTAATGTAAGAGCTACTCAACTAATTTGAATAGATTAAGAAAGTCAAATAAATTAGTTAATTATAACTAATATGATATGATCTTCCTAAGATATCCATGTATAATATTAGATTATATATTAGTTTATAAGGTAAATTAGCTTACAAAGAAATGATAAATATGAAAGATAAAATGAATTGAGATTTTATATTTATGGCTAGATTTAACCTCTAATTAGCTCCTATATTAGGGATTGGAGGGAATAGATTTTACAAGTTATGATCTAGCTGAAGTGTCTGAAATTTGCTCCAGTTAATACAATAAGCATAGTATTCCGCTCTGGTTTTAAGATATGCAGCTCTGAGACTCTTGTTCTCCCTTTTCGTGATTTACAAGGTTGCTGACTCATGGGAATCATTGGATGGATGGCTGGATGCAATTCTCCTAGTGTACACAATATATGTACGAGGCAAAAGTGACGTACTGGCAGGCATAATAACGGGATGAATATATCAGATTGTTTAATGTATTGGAAATCTGTTTTGACATTTATTATCTTCTTCGTTTTATCCTTTCTCTCCTATAAAAATAAGATCTACATGTTATGAGTTGAGTACTAGTTGTGAAAATCTAACTTGTGTATAATATTTGAATGTTGGGTGAAATCATTTCAATTCAAAATCGAGGTTACTAATGAATTAGCCTTCTGCAATTTCCCACTATTTTCTCTTTCCAGAATAGCCTATGTTATTCCTGGGTGCATGTTGCATTTGTATGTGTCCATGTGCAAACATGTTTGGTTGAAAAGTATGAAGAATTAATTAAACATTTTTAACTTCACTTTTTTTTTTAATTTTTTTGTTAAAATTAAATTTATTAAAATCGTCTCTGTCCATCTCTCTTCTATTCCCTCCCATCCAAACAGAACACAGAAACTTAGCAGACAAAAACAGAAGAAAGTAAACGGCCTGTATTAATTTTCTTACCTCGTACCAAAAAATTTCAAAAGCTCACACATTGAGAGTTTGTTAGTGTGTTGACCAACGGAGGATTGATCGGCATGAGTTCTTTTGACTTCCCCCTAACATTCGCAGCCGATGACACACGTCCCTGTCTGCCTAACTGCCTTGGGCAAATGGTACCACTATACGCTAGAAATAACGTCGTGTTTGGAATATTGGATTAATGCATTAATACATGAAAGAGAAAAATAGGGGGAGTAAACCTTGTTGGATTTGGTAGGAAGGTATTTCAATGATGAAGAGCTGAAAATATCATCAGCTACTATATCTCCAACTAATTTAACTATTTTACATCCATTTTTTATAAAAATAAAATAATTATAGCATATAACTCATCATTTTCATATTTTATAATTCAAAAGTTTCGCCTTATTTATTATGACGAGGCCAGGAATTATGTAGAAACTCATATGGCTCCTAAATTTCAAAACGCTATGAATATTTTGGTTTTTCTTATATAAAATACAAAAAATATTTTTCCCCTAATTATGTAGTTTAATATACTTATAGAAGTAGTATAATTTTTCCCAATTTTTATTTTAGTTTGAAGTAAGAATATACTCAAACTTTCATTTGACTAGAGGAGTGAAGACGGATTTTATTTTATTATACACAAAATAAGATACATAATATTTAGTATTACTAGTATATTATTTTAATTTATAATACAAATATTAGATTTTTTTTCCTGATTTGTTTGCCTTTTGGTGCACTACTATTTACTCACGAGTAACCAGGACAATATATTTTTATTATTAGAAAAATGCAATAAAAAATAATTTTCTAGATTCCCTATTTTTATTCTGTACCCATGCACTTAATCACTTCAATTTAAAAGTTAAAAAGTTTACTGGTCATATTGTCCTAAACGAGATTCGAAGACTTTATTGAAACTTTTTTCGGCCAATTGAAGATTTCAATACTTATCCGTACTAGTTGGCAAAGAGAGAAACAAAGGAAGCTCGCAAGGGTCCTAATCGGCCCTCGTGACGAGGGCTTACACGCGTCAAGATCTGGATGAGCGAGGAAGGCTGGGACACGTGAGGAGTTTGGAGCTTGTTGGCATGGCATAGGAAAGCAAGCAGCTAGCGAGTGGTTGTTGCGGTGGTGTTTCTGAATGATTAGTGATGGCGGTCAACGAAACGCATGCCTGATTCAGAAACATTCATAGATTGAGCTGAGAAAGATACGAAGAAGAACAAGAAGAAGAGCAAGTTTTTAAGTAGCAACCGTGTTACGGTCTTCTAGGGTGTATGGGAAGAATGGGAGGAAATCGCAGTAATTATTCTTCTAATCCTTCTGACTACAAGCTTCTCGAAGAGGTTGGTTTTGGTGCTAGCGCCACCGTTTACCGCGCGATCTATATTCCTCTCAATGAACTCGTCGCTGTCAAGTGTTTGGATCTCGATCGCATCAATTCCAATCTGGTTTGTTCTCTTCCCTCCTTTATCTAGTCTCGCATCACTGCTTCTTGTTTCTTGTTACAGATTACTACCATGCTTCAATGATTTTCCTCATGCCTTGAGTATTTTATAGCACCACAAATCAGATTTTAGGCTCTAAAGAAACAATCGATGCACCATCCATCTGTGTTTTAAATAGAAACTGTAGAGGAGGAAGCCATTACAGTGTCCTTTATATTTTGCATCTCACATTAATACTTCTTTAATTTGATTCTGTCGTATACATAAAGGTTTCCCTATTAATATATGTATGACCGGTCGGAACTTGTATTGATGATTATCTCTACTAGTCTCTAGCATGAGCAATGCTGTTCTGGATTAGTTGCATGAATCCTCATTTAGAACTTGAGCCAATTTCTTTGTAAGATCGTACCCTCGATTTTCTGTAAAATAAAATGCTTCTACAAATCTTCACTTGCATTCCATCTTGTTATTTCATTCATCTCTTCCTTTAATCTTTCTCTCTTCTTTAACTTAAATCAATCTCTGTATAAATACTACAAGAGCCACTGGTCCTCGTAATGCACTGCTTCTTTAAAGGGCACTTGTGTCCGTTTGTGTGCTTACTTTAGAGTCACTGTTGATCATTGCGCGGGGAGCAAAGTTGGTGGTTTACATCTCAAGAACATAAAAATTACTCCGTTGTTCTGTTTGGGCGTATTTGGTCCACCTAGTGAGAGATAAGGCTTGTTGTTGTTGTGGGCATATTTGGTAATGTTATAAACTGGTTTATTTGTTAATATTTTTTTAAAATATTCACGGGATATGTGAGTTGAGGAAAACTTAGTGATAGTGACACTAACAGACAGCTTTAGGCTTCATCAATTCGTGCTATATTGTTTATTTATTTTCATTTTGTTTTTTTTCCGCATATTATTTTGATTCATCGCTGAGATTGTTGTTTATTAGTTATTAAATACATGGTGAGTTTGATCTATCCATGGGTTTTGTTCTGTTTTTAATTTTCACTCCGATGAAATGCGAACCTTAATAGGATGACATACGGAGGGAGGCTCAAACTATGAGTTTGATAGATCACCCAAATGTCGTGAAGTCATATTGTTCATTTGTTGTTGAACGAAATCTTTGGGTGGTCATGCCATTCATGGATGAAGGTTCTTGTTTACACCTCATGAAGATAGCGTATCCTGATGGATTTGAAGAGGCAGCTATTGGATCTATTCTAAAAGAAACTCTTAAGGCATTGGAATACCTTCATCGACAAGGGCATATTCATCGTGATGTTAAGGTAACTGTAAATATGGTGTTAATATAGGATTTCTTCATTACTTCTGTTTTTTTCTCAGATGGTGACCTTAACTTGTATGGTCAACCCGTAATGCATTTTTTTAATATGATTTTTATTTCCACAGGCTGGAAACATTTTACTTGATAGTAAAGGGACTGTGAAGCTTGCTGACTTTGGTGTTTCAGCTTGCTTGTTTGATACTGGTGATAGGCAGCGTTCGAGAAATACTTTCGTAGGGACTCCTTGCTGGTAATATATGCTATCCATATGTCTTGAAAATGCCTTAGCACGATGCCCTTTGTTACATGGTTGGTTAGTTCGAATTAGTCAGCTTGTTAAGCTGTTAATTCTGTTAGGGGATCTTAATTGTATCCCTATTAGTATATTTAAAGAATAGTATATTTGCAAACCAATAATGTACTAAAATGTGATAATTTCATGTAAAGAATGTGAATGATATGAATAGTATATTTACAATTTACTCTACCAAAATCTATCACGCTGTTTACGTGTATCTATCCCTTTTTATACTAATAGGCATACAATTTAGATCTCCCAATAGAACTAATAGCCTATCCAACTAACCAATCGCACAATGCCCTTTGTGATATTTCTCCCATCCTTTCTTTTATAATTGATGTGTTACCGGTGTCCTTGGCCTTTGTTTTCAGGATGGCACCAGAGGTACTGCAACCAGGAAGTGGCTACAATTTCAAGTGAGTCATAAACCTGAATATTGATGTCATAACTGAAAACCATATTAAACCAAGATTTGGTCTGTTGTATAATGTTTCAAGAATGTATCCCGACAATTATCCTCCTAAATGACTTGATTCTCACATGTACTGGTTCTGATCTCATGCTTCAATGCTCCAGGACCTTAAGGTTTGGTTATTGTACTTGTATATTGGGCATGCTAAACTTCACTAAAGAAATTTATGCATTGGGTGGTTTGACTGGTGGTACTGGGATTTCTTGTTGTAATTGCCAGAAAAGGGATGTTGTTCTGTTAATCTGGAAGTTGGAATATTTATACATTCGTGTTAACATAATAAATGTTTGCATCTACTTAATTTACAAATCATTTTGTCTTCCTACCTTGACTAAATAGCGGACCAAGTTCATTCTTACTGATGAGATTATCTGATGCACAAATTATGGCAGAGCTGATATTTGGTCTTTTGGAATTACGGCACTGGAGTTGGCTCATGGTCATGCTCCTTTTTCAAAATATCCTCCGATGAAGGTATTTACTTCTAGTGGGCACTCAACTACACATGTCAGAAAACTTAAAACACAAGTTCTTGTACCATAATTCTTGGCATAGGACAATGATTTAACCTTTTTGTTTTTTCAATAGGTTCTTCTAATGACCATCCAAAATGCCCCTCCCGGACTCGATTATGATCGTGATAAAAAGTTCTCTAAGGTATTTGTGTTCTTTCTGGTATCATTGTTGCTCAGGACATTCATTATATTAATTTTTTTGGATCCATTAAGTAGTCATGACATGTGAGACTGAAGAGGGATTCAAATACGCAGCTGTGTTCTATCTTGTTCCTTATATATTTATACTCTAATTAAAGTATTTCCAGTTGTGATCAGTCTTTTAAGGAAATGGTTGCTATGTGCTTGGTCAAAGATCAAACAAAGAGGCCATCGGCAGAGAAGTTGTTGAAACACTCCTTCTTCAAAAACGCTAAGCCTCCTGAACTTTCTGTGAATAAACTATTTGCTGACTTACCACCACTCTGGAATCGTGTGAAAGCTCTTCAGGTTTTCCATCATAAATATGTTATTTCATGTTCTATGATTTCTTTCGTCTGTATGTTTGCTTGACTTTATTGGTATCTTGCAGCTTAAAGATGCAGCTGAACTAGCTCTGAAGAAAATGCCTTCTGCGGAACAAGAAGCATTATCACAGGTGAAAGCTGGAATGCAAACTTATAATTTGCTTTCATGTAGCACTTTC